TTCTCTCAGTGGCTTTGCATTGCCTTTGGCTAAGGTATTACCATGTGGCTGTTGCATCCGGATATTCACTTCAATTAATACAGTACAGTCCACAATTAGTCTTTTCAACTTTCCTTCCTTTTCTCCTTCTGCAGGGAGCTCTCTGTTATATATAAAACTGACCCCCCCACACAAAAAGTTTAAAGAAAACATTTATTGTTAAAGGTTTAGATCTTTGGATATGATGGGAATACCACCTATACACATAATTGTTTTAAATGATAACACTACTTTATTTACTTATTTTGCTGGATTAGACTAGAGCAAATATGACCCCAGAACAGATTACTGAAATCTTACCGGTAAAGGCCAAATTTTCCTGCACATTGTCTTTTTATAAAACATACTTGCAAATAATGAAGCGAAAGTTAGCCCAGTTCACATTGGCTAATTTCTGTTTCATGAGAAATACAAACAATAACAATGAAAGTTTAAGAAGTCTTGACTGTTTTGCTTCTTAGAGCTCCATGAAGCTGTATCTGACTTCATGTGTTTTTCTCTTCGGTGCAGCCCATCCTGCTCACTCGTCTCCAGGCAAAGTAGCCAGGACCGGAGTCCTGCAGTAGCAATGAAATGATTTCATGAGAGTTTCCTCTTTGTTTTTAAGGAAATGGCTCATAAAGAGTTAGAGGTGTGGTATTCCAATTTGGTGAGTGCCCAAACCATTTTCTCCCCAGCCTACCGGTACATCCCAGAACTGACTCTTCGATCCCAGCAACAGCGTCGGGTCTTCTCTGAGGTCCATACAGACCAACACAGGATGGCTGTCACCGAAGGAGGGTGGTGTGGCAGCCACCGTCTCTCCCCTCCCTCTCTCCCTCAAATGCTGCAGACATTTCCTGGTCTTTGGATTGGTGCCCTACGACACACGCCAGGGGTTTCTTTTTTCCCTAGAAATATATTGATAGCCATATCTTCACACTCTTTTTATTAATACTCACAAATGTTAACACCCCTGTGCTAGGCCTCTATACTGTGCTTACATGATTTTTTGAAAATGCAAAATGCCAACAAAATGTTACTGTTAGACAATAGGACTCGCACCGAAATTTCAGTTCTGACACTCGCCTTTAGTGTTACCTTAGGCAAATCACTTAACCCTTTAATGCCTGCATTTTTAGTTCCTGAAGAAAGACGGCAAGATAAAAGAATTTATGCCTGAAATAGCTTTTTAAAATGTCCATATGGAAGATAACATAAATACAAAGGTATCATTTTATTTTTAACCTTTTAGAATTTTAACATCATTTTTTGCAGTTCCCTTGCTACTAAAAGTATAAGTAGGAAAGTTAAAATTTTAAGCTGAGAGAAAATGTACCACTTTAATATTTTCGAGTATGTGAAGTTAGTTCCCTATTTTGTCAGCATCTTCCTACTGATGTCTTTTAAAAGATTTTAGCAAGTGTCTTAAATATAAGTTAGACCCTAATCCAGATATTATTCCAGAAAAGTGCACTTCATCCTGCTCTTTCCAAAAAGTCAATTGGAGGCTTCTGGCATCAAATGGCTGTTGAATCCCTTCCAGTTCTGCTACAAATTTCCTTGCAGACCGAGCAAGTGTGTGACCTCAATCTCTCCTTTGTCGGTATTTTTTCCTCAGCTCTTTAAATTCTGACACAGTAAAGCAGTTAACTTACATCAAGACCCTGAATTTCACGGGGACCTGTACATATGTTTACACAGAGGCTGGTGACTAACAGCTTCTGTGTGTAACATGCGATGATCAGAGTTCCCTGGACTTTATTTGGCCTGATTCTTAGACCCTCCACAGAGAGTTCATCTCCTCCGTATGCGAACGTCTCTTTAACCCCTGAACACTTTCTGTGCATGGGGGGGGGGGGGGGCGGCAGGCTACAGGGAGAGGTCAGACAAAGGGAAAGCATTTCTAAAAAAGTATATATGCAATTTGAAAAACAGAATTATCTCATCAAACACTCTTAGTTAGAAGAAAGGCTTTCATACCTATTACATAAGGTTCATTTATGTCCTGACTCTCCATAGTATGTGTAGATGTATTCGTACAAACAAGTGTTCAAATACATATTTACTTTTATAAAGTGGAAAATCCCTGAATACCACACGTGTCCTTTTGGTCATATGGTACTTCGCTCAAGTACAAGGAGCCTAGGACGGTAGCCACAGAAATCCAAGGGCCGCGTCACTGCGTTTTTTTTCCTCCTTCAAATATGCCAAGGTCAGAGTTTAAGAAGCTTTAGCGTGGTTGCAACATCATGCTATTAATAGAGAGTGCTCTCTAAAGAATGAAGGTTGTGATCCCACATGTGGATATAGGGTAAAGGCATGAACTCAGCTGTCCCTGGAACACCACCTCCCACAAAGTAGCCGCCCACTCGTTGCGGGGGGCAGGGGGTGGCATCCTCCCCTGGCTGCATGTCCTCTAGTAAGAACCGTTTCTTCACAGGGCCTTGTCAACTGTCAGTACAGGAGGCCCTCGGCTGCAGTGAGCCTCGGGGAGCAGCAGGCTCAGATCTTAGACATGGAAGGTGCACATGGTGCAAAACCCATGGAAACCGGCTGGGAGGTCAGGCCTGTCCTTCCCATTGAGCTACTGCATAGAGCTGCTTCCTCTGGTTCACCTTCCCATCACTTCTCTTAACTCCTGCCTTATCGGTATCCTTCTGACTGGCTTTCCTTTTGTTTCTAGATTGTGGTTTTTACTTGTACTTTTAAAAATCTTAGACATTAGGGCTGGAAGAGGCTGTTGCTTCATCTAGACTTTCAGCGGGAAAGTTCCCCTTAGAACACTTCCTTTAGTTCTTAGGTCGAATTGCAGCATTTCAGCGTTCTGGTTAAAAGGCAGCCTCAGACCACTGTCCCATCACACCACACACGGCCTGGGCCTGCCTGTCTGTGTAAGAATAGGGGGGAGCTCACCGCAGCCACACTGGTAACCTTGACTGTGAACGGCAAAGATTATCATAATTCTCCTCTGAGAGGACCTGGGGCCTTAAGCAGGAGGGCAGAGTCTACGTGACTAAAACATACTGACTTCCTCTTTCATAAGTCATCACATGATGAACTACAATTACAATTACTGCCTTGTCTCTGCGAATTGCAGACGCATTGCCTCACCCTAGAAACCCCGCTCCTGTGCTCGGAGGAGGTGGTGACTGCTGCAGCCATGCTTTGGAAGGCATCCAGCTCCAGGCTGCGCTGGGCCGGGAGGGCGGGGGTGGGAGACAAAAACAAAGCTGTGTTTACTTAGCATACATCGATAAAGCTGCTTCAGAGCTACATGAAAGGCCAGGCAGCAGGAAAGGCCTGATACAATATAAGGTATTGCTGCTCTGGATCCCCCTTGTGCCTTAACCCCCTTGATGCCGGATCCTTTTATGGCCAGAGAGACCATCAACTAGCCTTTCCATTTTCCTGAGGGCATTTCATTAGGGAAGTTACATCAGCCCTGTTTCGACATTAAACTGGTAGTGTAGAATAAGAGGGAACTGCCCTCAATTTGGAGAAGAAAAGCTCTGTTCTACAGAAATCCTTACTTAATACCTCCCAAGGCAGAGTTTGCATGTCAGTATTTCTACTTTGGGCTTTCCCTGGAGGGTATTAGCACTGCTTGTAGGTAAATGAGTATAATTAGGCCATGGCTCTAACACCTAGTTTTGTAATGTTTCTGTTGCTGCCTTGTGGGGCCATCTCTTGGGGGTGGCCGAGATGGCTAATCTCTGCAGCACAAAGACTAGGCCTTATTCCCTTTGGGTCGGATGGGCCAAGTCACGTGGTAGAACGTGGCACACAGTCACCATGGAGAGTGACCAAAGGGACAGATCCCTGAAAGAGGTACTACCACAGGGACCACGAGTTACCAAACCCACTGTCTCCAGGTGCTTCCCCAGCTAGGAGGGCAGTGAGGCAGGATCGCAATTGCAAGGCAGGATCCGGAACAGGGGGTGACCTCTATGGCAGGCACACCTTCTCTGGAAATCCCCAAGAGGTTCAGCGTTAGCCTGAAAAATATTTAGGCCTGGCATTACGTTTTCTGTGCCATTGCGAACAGGTTTTTTCATGTGCTTTAAGCAGCTCCCTCCACTGTTTTTCTAAGGGTGTTTTTCCTCTTCCTTGTGGTTAATCCTTTGAAGCAACCTGGCATTTTCAACAGCAACAACTAGAGAGAAACGTCAGCAGGATTTTTTTTTCTCTCCACCTACCAATCCAGCGGTAGGAAAGATAATATAATTAGTACCCTGTTCTTCCCACTTAACCAGCTCATTCCAGTCTCAAGAAGCCATGTGGGCCGGTCTTCCAACAAAAGCGGCTGCAGAGGCTGCCCTAGTAGAGTTGAAGTGTCAAAGTCCCAACTGAGAGTGACTAAGCCTGCATCTATTAGTCAGTAAAACCAACGACCGGCCAAAAGTGATTTACTATAATACACACCAGCTCCTCCTCCCGATGCAAGTGTGAAACTCAAGTGCTCAGTTTAGCTGGGCAGAGCCTGGGGCTGCCAACTATGGCGGGCGCGTCGGGCTAGCTGTTCACGCCAGACGCGGACTCCCCCCACCGGCGCTGCGCCTGGCCCGGGCCGCGTGGTGCGCGCACATCCGTTCCGCCTCTGACAACGCCCGCGAGCGGCGGGCCCGGCCAGTAGCACACCCCACGGCCCGCGCCGCACGATCTCCGACCCACGCCGGGCTGGGGAGCTGGGCCTGCAGGAGCAAGGCCGCCGGGGGGCGGTGCTTCAGGGCGAGGAGCCGTCCGGGGTGGGGGGGCGGAGGCTGCGCAGTGACGCAACGCGCTGGCCGCAGACTCGGATCCCAGGAATGTGCGTTCACTCAATGAGGCCGCCAGCGCCAGCAGCGCCGAGTCACGTCCGCGTGGAGCGTGCGCACTCGGCAGCGGCGCACGCGGGCTTCGGCTCCGCGCCCACGTCACGCGCCCGCCTGAGCCCTACATAAGCGGCCTGGTGCTGGCGCTGTAAGCACTGCGCTTGCTGAAAAGGGGAAGCTGAGCGTTTTGGGGGCCTCGGTGTTGGGAGGTCGTTCTCCGCCCCCCCACCCATAAGGTCTCAGGCTTGGAAAGTCATTATTCAGTGTTAAAACTTCAGGGGGTTGGCGGCGCGTGCCTAGCTCCAAGACACACGAGTGTAAAGCACTATTGAACGGTCTAACTCCTAAAACCCTGTGAGCCACGTTGCTTTCAAGCAGTACAGTCGGAAACAAGTCACAAAGTGGCCCCGCTTTAAGAACACGAATATTAGCACGATTTTACCCCAACCAGGACGGAGGAATTCCGACTGGGTTGAGGTCGCCGGGCGAGTACAATAGAGCAGACTTGTAGCTCTTTTAGTTGCGACGCGCCATCAGCGCTGCGCAGAGCGGACTCTCCCGACTCTCCAAGGAGTCTCTGCGCGGGGGAGGGGCGCGCGCGCGCGCGGGGCTGGGCAGGCGGGCGCGCGCGCACGAGGGGAGGGAGCCCGCGCAGGCGCTGTGCGAGGCTGTCGAAGAATCAAGTCTGTAGAAGTGGAGCGGCGCGGCGGCGGCGGCAGCAGCAGCAGCGACGGCGGCGGCGGAGCTGAGGCGGGCTGGGCGCTGCTGACGCGCGCGCTGGAGAGCGGCGACGCCCGGAGCAGTGAGGGAGCAGCAGAGCGACGCGGGGTCCGTGCCGTGCCCCGGCTCCACGCCGCCCGGCCTCCGCCGCTCCGGCGCGGCATGCCCCACCGTTCCGGCTGAGCTTGCCTCGGCGGCCGCCCCCCGGCCCCCGCCCCCCGTCCTCCCCGCCCCCCGCCCCGCACTCCGCGCCCGCCGCGACCTGCTGCGCTCGCCCGCGCGGCCCATCTTCGCTCCGGTCTGGAGGCCCGCCGCGGCCCCGGCCGAGCCCCCGCCCTCGCGCCCGCCGCCCACCCGCGCTCGCCGGGGGGCCGTGCTGCCGCGCCTGCAGCCCCTCGCCCCGCGCCCGCCGCCCCTCGTGTCCCGGGGGCGCTGCGCGGGCGCCGAGCCCGCGCGGGCTCTGCCTTTGCCGCCGCCCCTGCCGCCCCTGCGGCCGCCGCCGCCGCTGGTGGGGGAGCCGCGGGGTTGGGGGGGCAGGAGGGCGCGCGCGGGGCCGGCGGCGAGCGGCGGCACCCCCTCCTCTGTGGGCTCCGCGGACATGGCTGCAGCGGTAGCGGTGGCGGCCGCGTCCCGGCGGCAGTCCTGCTACTTGTGTGACCTGCCCCGAATGCCCTGGGCGATGATCTGGGACTTCACGGAGCCCGTGTGCCGCGGCTGCGTCAACTACGAGGGTGCCGACCGCGTCGAGTTCGTCATCGAGACCGCGCGGCAGCTCAAGCGGGCGCACGGCTGCTTCCCGGAGGGCCGCTCCCCGCCCGGCGCCGCCGCCGCTCCGGCTGCTTCGAAGCCGCCGCCGCTCTCGGCCAAAGACCTCCTTCTGCAGCAGCAGCAGCAGCTCGGCCACGCCGGCCCGGAGGCGGCCCCGCGCGCCCCACAGGCGCTGGAGCGCTACCCGCTGGCCGCTGCGGAGCGGCCCCCACGCCTTGGCCCTGACTTTGGGGGCGCCCGGCCGGCCGCGGGCCTGGCTCAGCCGCCGACGCCGCAGCCCGTGAACGGCATTCTGGTGCCCAACGGCTTCTCCAAGCTGGAGGAGCCGCCGGAGCTGAACCGCCAGAGCCCGAACCCGCGGCGCGGCCACACCGTGCCGCCCACGCTCGTGCCGCTCATGAATGGTTCGGCCGCGCCTCTGCCCGCCGCGCTTGGCCTCAGTGGCCGAGCCGCCGCCTCGCTGGCCGCCGTGTCCGGAGCCGCAGCCGCCGGCCTGAGCTCTGCGCCGCCCGCCGAACTGGGCGCGCACAAGCGTCCGGCGTCTGTGTCCAGCTGCGCGGCCGCGGAGCACGAGCAGCGTGAGGCGGCGGCCAAGGAGAAGCCGCCGCCGCCAGCGCACCGCGGCCAGGCCGACAGCCTGTCCACCGCGGCTGGGGCCGCCGAGCTGGGCGCCGAGGGCACGGGCAAAGGCCGTGCGCCAGGAGAGCAGGACTGGGTCAACCGACCCAAGACGGTGCGGGACACGCTGCTGGCGCTGCACCAGCACGGCCACTCGGGGCCCTTCGAGAGCAAGTTTAAGAAGGAGCCGACCCTGACTGCAGGCAGGTTGTTGGGGTTCGAGGCCAACGGGGCCAACGGGTCTAAAGCAGGTAGGGGCGGCAGTGGAGTGAGGGGACCTAGGGGAGAAAGGGACCGAGAATGCTCCGCGGTGGGGTGGGGGTGGGGGGGTGTACTCTTTTCCATTCACCATTTTACCCTAACGCAGAAACAACAAACACCCAACTTCCTGCTCTGCCCCAGGCGGAACCACTGCTTAGTGGCAACGTGTTCTTGTGCTGAAGCAGCACAACAGAGATGAGTCAGAGTGGGTTGATAGGCACTGACACAGGGTTTTCCTTTCCCAGCACATTCTTGGATGGGAGCAGGAGGGCACCAGTCACCTTTTAACCTGTTGGGGGACCTTAATACTTACATTCACGGTTAAACCTAGGGACATGCATGCATGTGTATGTAGAAACTCAATTGTTTATGAGCCATTTTCTGAGGCGTTTTCAAAACTGCTGTAGAGCTTCAGAGCCAACCCATAAGTGTTTTAAGTTGCACGTGTATTTGAAACTCGTTTGTGTTTGGATACAGGCTTTTAGACGATAGAACTGTTCAGTGAGTTTTGTTTCACATTAATAAATGATCCTTTTCAGTGCGTGTTCACTTATTTCCTCTTTTTTCCCTTTATTTGCTTGTTTTTTTTTTTGTTTTTTTTGTTTTTAGTTGCAAGAACAGCCAGGAAAAGGAAGCCTTCTCCAGAACCGGAAGGTGAAGTCGGGCCCCCTAAAATCAATGGAGAGGCACAGCCGTGGCTGTCCACGTCTGCTGAAGGGCTCAAGATCCCCATTAATCCTGCGTCCTCTTTTGTATCTCCACCACCACCCACTGCCTCACCTCATTCCAACCGGACCACACCGCCCGAAGCAGCCCAGAACGGCCAGTCCCCCATGGCAGCCCTGATCTTAGTAGCAGACAATGCAGGGGGCAGTCACGCCTCGAAGGATGCCAGCCAGGTTCACTCCACCACCAGGAGGAATAGCAGCAGTCCACCCTCTCCGTCCTCAATGAACCAAAGAAGGCTAGGCCCCAGAGAGGTGGGGGGCCAGGGGGCCGGCAGCACAGGAGGACTGGAGCCAGTGCACCCCGCCAGCCTCCCGGACTCCTCTCTGGCAGCCAGTGCTCCCCTGTGCTGCACCCTCTGCCACGAGCGGCTGGAGGACACCCACTTTGTGCAGTGCCCATCGGTCCCTTCACACAAGTTCTGCTTCCCTTGCTCCAGACAAAGCATCAAACAGCAGGGAGCTAGTGGAGAGGTCTATTGTCCCAGTGGGGAAAAATGCCCTCTTGTGGGCTCCAACGTCCCCTGGGCATTCATGCAAGGGGAGATCGCAACCATCCTTGCTGGAGATGTGAAAGTGAAAAAAGAAAGAGACTCGTGACTTTCCAGTTTCTGAAAAACCCAGTCATTACCCTTAACTAAAACTGCTTGAATTGTATATATATCTCCATATATATATATATATCCAAGACAAGGGAAATGTAGACTTCATAAACATGGCTGTATAATTTTGATTTTTTGAATACATTTGTGTTTCTATATTTTTTTTGACGACAAAAGGTATGTACTTATAAAGGCATTTTCTTCTTTTGTTAACGTTATTAGCATATCTCTGTGCTTTATTATTCTGGTGACAGTTACCGTTCAATGTAGGCTGTGACTTGCGCTGCTTTTTTAGAGCACTTGGCAAAACCCAAAATGCTTCTAGCCGTGTTTGTATGCACTTACTTTAAAAAGAAAAAAAAAAAGCCAAATACATTTTCTGACATTGTAAGATTGCCTTACTGTCTGTTATTCCTTGTTGCTGCCCCTTTCTCAGGCTGGAGGCCAACTGGTGGAGAAGGAAAGGAAGTGAATGCAAGGGGCGCTGTTGCAAAGTGGGCATGCCACTGGGAAATACCAAGTTTACCCCCAGAACATTAGCTTTTCAGTCTTTCTGTATTTTGTTCTTAAAGTTCAGTTGTTGGGACATTAAGGACTGCCTGAGAGTTGCTGCTGAGAGATTTTTGGGACTGGTTTTGAGGGGAATCTTTTTTTTTTTTTTAAGGCAAACTTGATCACTGTTCGCTGCCCACGTAATCAGTTGTAAGATGATAATGCTGCATGCTAGTTGGTTACATAATACACAATTCAGTGACGGAAGGTGGCGATGATGGTGGCGTGTACGGCATGGCACTGCCATCTTTGACCAGGGCCTGGCTCTGCAGCGCCCCTTCATCCTTGTAAACACCCCAGAGCTCTGTTGTTGCTGCCATTGTCATGTCCCCGGGAGAAAGTTGCAGGAGAAGTTCCAGTCCAGGCGAACTTGGAGATTGTGGGGTCGGTTTCGTTTCTGTTTTGTGTGTTATTTTTTTTTATCATTTCCCTGTAGTGCCGTTGCTGTTGATGCTATCGACCACACCATTTCTCGTGAGTGCTAACTACAGTATGGTACAATGACAGCAGCAGCACAGGGTGCTGCCAGGACTGCCCGTGGGCATATTGGTGACAGCCCGGATGGGGTGGAGGACACCTGTAATTTCTTCCTTACATGTGTTTGAAATACCAAGTGAATAATACAGGTCTCCTGGGAAGAAATGATAAACTAGTGAAAACTAAAGAAAAGGTTTGACATCATAGACAGGTTCCACTTCTCAACTATTTTTAGAAGCCTTTTGTAAACTGATTGCTTTTGATCACTATTTTGCATCAGTAAAATGATTTTTTAAACCAATAAATCATCAGTTATTAGAAATAGTTGTCTCGGAGCGATACTGGTTTTTTGTTTTTGTGCTGTTTTAACATCTGCAGGAACACTATTTTAAGTCCTTTTATGTTCAGGTGTTTGTAACTTGGCCCTATAATTAGGCTGAATCATCGCTTCAAGGTCTATTACAACTTATGTGTATCGTTCACAATCCAGCTTCTATTTCAATTTGAAAATATAGATTGTTACCTGCTTTGGGTTATTTTTTAGTTCTGTTTGCGTCTTTTTAAAATTGCTCAAATATTTTATAATGGTCGGGTTATTAACACTTGAAAATCAGATACTGCACCAAATACAGTATTTTTCGTAGTGCTTTTAATGAGTGCACCTATGAACGCCATACAAGTTCATGTTACAAGTCATTGTTACAAAACCAGCAGACTTGCATGATTAACCAGTTTGTTGTTAGTTTTTTTAATTGGGGTAGCTATGACTCAGATCAGACTGGTTTCTCTTATGTAAATGTACACATGCAGAAACGGAGTCAGTTTTACATGCCCGTGAAGATGTTTGTAAGGAATTCAACTATTATGGTCTGTTATATAAACGTGCGTTTAGGCACTTGATTATAAACTGGAATTTGGCCTCTTAGATGGTACAAGTTTATCAGTCATTTGACCTAATTTGCGGTAGCTATCTGTATGTTTTGCAATCTTAATACAGATAGCTTTCCAAAAAGAATAACAAAGAACCATCCTGCTGTTTTGAATAAGTTTATCCAGCTGTGGAAAAGACAGCCAGTCGTTCTCTGTGCTGATGAGGGTTAAGGGGAAGAACGTGAACAGCTTTCAAGGCCTGTGTGTGGAGGTTACTCCTATTAAAAAATTAGATTTGCATGAGTCGGCCTGGCCCCTGGGTGGCCTTCGTGGAAGACTTGCAGCTGGAAAGTGTTGATCTGGGTTATTTTTCTGGCATCCTCCTAAGTTAAAAAGTTAACGTTGGGACATGGGTTTGATCTTCCGTTGTACCTGATGACAGTACAGAGATCCTCCACAGCTGGATAAAAATGTCAGAAAACTCCTTACTGTACATGGGCAGTATCAGGTTTCAAATCCTAATATTTCAGCTGTGCTTTTAATACACAAAATATTAGGGGATGGGTGTTGAAGCTTTCCCTTTTTGGCTTTACCCATTTATAGGATTTAACAGATGTACTGTCTTTCATGTGGCCTCACAGTAAAAGTTATGAGAACGTACACATGGTTTACAACTTTTATTCTATACATTTTCTTGGCCGCCAAGTATTTTAAAAAGTGTGCCACCTTTTAACCTTCACTTTATTTTTTTTTTAAGTTAAAGGTGATACTTTTTCTATATATGATGAAACTCATGTTAACTGAAGTGAGTGTAATCTCAGATAATCAACATTATTATATTTTAAAATCACGCTATGGAAATATCACCTGCATTCTGTCATGTGTCAGATTTACAATACTTTTTTTTTCTTTAACTTTTAGCATTAAATAAAAATAAAATTGGGAGCACTGAACATTTTCTGAGGCCTTTTTTAATTTTTCAAAGTAAGGTTAGAATGGCTGGCTATCCCTTGAATCCCTGAAGGCAGCGCGAGCGAGTAAAGGGTGTGTGGGGTTTGGGTTTGGGGTTTGACTTGGAGCTGCAGGACAGGAGATAAAAGACACAACAAAAAAGGCCAACTGGTGGTAGGAAAAAAAAAGGGCTAGGGCCTGGGGAAAGGGCAACTGGGTAGGGCAAACATAAAGTGAGGAGCGGAGCAAAGTCCGGGCAGAAAGCACTTGTTTATTGTTCCACTTGCAGTAGAGCCAGCGATGCTGCAATAGCGGGCTGGAGGGAGAAAACAGTGACGGCATCGCAGAGACTCAAGATGTGCTGCTGCTCTCTGGGCAGCTGTGGAGTGCAGCTCTGTGGGGCCCAGTGACCTGCACTGGCAACGAGAGGAGAAAAAGCCCGTCCTTCAGAAAGCTCTGGAATAGAGTCACAGAAAGCCGTGTGAGCTTTATCCATCACCTGAAGCCAGAATTTAGAAACAGATACAAGGTGGAAAACAGGAGCACACCACTGTCACATAGTAAGAAATTTCTAGGGGTTTGCAGCTTTTACTCTCTCTTGAGTAAATAAAGGGTAAAGTCTGCTAAGCACTGGCTTAGCAGACTATGAAAGGAAGTTGTGAGATTTCTAAGGAGTTAGAGGATACATAGACTTAACTATGTTTTCTTGATTATTATTACTATTATTATTTTGGAGAGAGAGAAACATTGATTTGTCTTTCTACTTCTTTATGCATTCATTGGTTGCTTCTTGTATGTGCCCTGACTGGGGATCGAACCCACAGCCTTGCCCTATTGGGGTGATGCTCTTAACCAACTGACCTACCTGGTCAGGGCCTAGACTTACTATATGTTTTAAATTAAACAGCAACAGTTGGATATATATTGATTAGGGGTGGTCCGATAACTTAGGGGCTCACCATTATATTTTAGTATTTTTTTAGTAGCCTGTTTAAGGCAGTTTTCAATAAACAGTATTCTTACTAATTACAGATTGCAATACACAATACAACACAATGTTTCATAATTAAGTTAAATGTTAACTTTTTTAACTTAAAATGCTAGATTTTTTTTCACTGAAATTTAAAGTAGTGCAGCTTGCAGAAGTCATTTTTAAGTTTCAAAAGTTCCTTCCAAAGTAAACTTACGATTGCATTCAGTTTCCAGTTAAAAAAGAAGCAAAAAACACAACAGACTCTTGATGTGGCAGCTGTCTTTGTTTATACCCTAAAGGGGAAAAAAGTTAAAGGGAAAATATGAAACAACTTTTAAATCCCTTTGTTACTCAAAATCGTTTTGCATGTGATTTATAGATGGTTTTATTTGGTTAGTGAAGAGGAGAATGTTTCTCTTCCTGATTCCAAAGTGGATACGTGGAATCATTCAGAAAAACATTCAGTTGCGTGCAGGCCACTAGAAGTCCTGAGTCACCCTCATTTGCTTGCCTTTTCTTCATGGGAACAGTGTGAGAAGACACGCCTTTCCTCTGTCACAAACCAAGGTCAGAGTCACCGGAGAATAGAACACGTATTCACCTACTTCATCCTCTGAGGTTCTAGAGATGAGGAGGGTGGGGATGCTGTTTAACTCCTTCAGTGCCACTGATTAGGCCTCTGATAGCAAGAGTATTGATTATAATACAAGTGATTACAGTCCAATAAAAATTGTGGGCGTGACTTCCCAGATTTTCAACTATCTCATTTCTGTGGACGGCCTGCATTTTCCTCAAAAGTTTTGAGTCCCTCACATTTAAAAGGCACAAAAAATGCAAAAAGTCAATTTGTGAGTTATTTAAGGGGTTGGAAGATAGAAAATGCCTGGATTTATGGGTTATCTCTGGATTTCTTTATTAATCCCCAGGTAAACCCATAATTGGGGATATCCACACTCTCCCTCTTTCCCGTTAACACATTAATTTGTGCCTAGTTTAACAATGAACTTTGTGTTAACCCATCAGTCTGTCACCTGCTCCTCCCCCATGACAATACAACTTAACATGACTGAAAACAGCTATTCTAACATTGTTTTTAGTTACAGAATATGAAATCTCCACCTGCAGTGGTCTTTATCACAGAATATTGTGAACTGCTTTTCTTTATGGCACTTTTCTTTATGAGCTGCATAAAACAACCCATACAAGCCACAGAAGGTTATTTTAGGACAAAAACTATACCATAGGCAAATCATTATTTGTAATCATTTAGACATTGGGTCTTAAACCTATTTTATTCTGTGTCTAGAAAACACAGAATTGAGTGAAATCTCCTTAATAGAACAACCCGATTATGGTGGTATGAACAGTTCCACAATACAACCGATTTGGAGAAAAGCCCTCCAAAACTCAAAACCATAGTATAACAAGTCTCTGGGGAATTTATCACAAAATTAGCCATGAAAATCCTTTAGGAGTTGACTTCCTGCCAGGGCAGACAAGGTCTGGAGACAGAACTCCAAAATTCCTCCTCCCAAGTTCCTGTATAAATCGTGGGCATCCACTCTCTGGTTGGTCTTGGCCTTTGAATGGACTTTAGAAGTTGCATAATCTGAAGAGCCTCCGAGCCATTTAGCAGAAGCCCTCAATACAGATAAGACAGCCTGCGTGGAGTCCTAGCGTCCCATTTGAATATTTCTAAATATAGTCGATATTTTGGCGGAAATGAGCAGTGTTACCTAATCTGTGGATCCCATCACCACTTTTACTTACTAATTACCATGTTACTATCCGTGAACATTCAGACGCCCGTGAGGGGACAGGCATCCTACACGGCACGTCACGCTGTGTTGTGTCAGTGCTCAGGTAGCAACTCTGGCCGATAAAGGTGAAGGTTACAGCATGGTTTTCTGCCATTTAGAAAACACCTTCCCTATGACTGTTCAAATGTAAGCAGCTACTGACAGGTCCAGGAAAAAAATAAATTCATAAACATTTCACTGGAAGTAAGGTTCTGAATTCCTTCCAGTGTATGGAAAGGCTATTAAAAGTGAACCTTGCTACTGCGACATACGTTCTTTTATTGTATGATTCAAAAACACTAACCAGAGGGCTGAGAGTTCTGCAGAGAAGTTGACCTTAGGAGTAGGGACTGGGTGGGCCTGAATAAATCAGAGTTTCTGTACACAGGGCCTTGGCTTAGCGCCTGGTTCTCCACAGCCTCCTCCCAGACTGTGTCAGCTGCCAAGCAGAAAAAGGCCTTTGGTGCCTTAACCCATGCTAAAAGCCTCCTACCCCCCCCCCATTTTTGTTATTTCTGCCTCCAAACTACAATTTCATTAGCTTTGTGTGTGTGATAGAAGATAAAGACTTACTGTACCCCACATATCATTGAAATCCGAATGTCACAGGAGGGTAACAGTTCCAGAATAATGCTCTCTCGATCAGCCCTACACAGTTGTCTCTGTGATTATCTGACACCTACATTAAGTGAGGCGAATCCTTTGGGCTTTGGCACTGAAGGTCCGCCACAGGTAGGCGTGGCAGCGTGTTTAAGGGCGCGTAGTGGCCAGGGTTCACCGCCTCCAAGAGTTTGTTTTCCTTCCAGGAGGCTGGGAAGCAAAGTTACGGTAACTTCTCCCACGGAGCACTGAGTCTTTTCCTAGTATCTGCACGTGGGACCCCGGTGGGTCTGCGAACTGGGAGCGCAGTCCCAAGTCCAAGGTGGTGTCACCAGGTTCACTCTGCATGCACCTATCACGCGGGAGCCACTATCTTCACACAAATCACCGGCTAGTTGAAAACACCGGAGGTGAGGTCGGAATGGTTAAATTGTAGTTTTCTTTTTTTTTTTTTTACTTGTCACTGTTGCTCAGAAGGGTTTCACCGCCACTCGCCTCCTCCCCCCCTCCCCTTTAAGGATGAAAACAGCTGCCAGCGCTGCCCAGCCCTGTTTACTGGAAGGGAAGGGAAGGGGAAGAGGCGATCTTACTTCCATCGCCTGCGGTTTCCAGTGCGTCCGGGACTGACTGGTTCTAGAACTTTTCCTGGGCTGCACGCGCCAAAACAGCGCCTCGCCCTGCTTCTGCTGGGGCACTTGGGGCCTGGCGGCGGGGGACTCGCTGGGTGGGACCCGGGGCCAACCCGCCCCCTCCGCCCCAAGTCCCGAGACCCGGAGGGTCCCCAAGCGCCAGCCGGGCCCGCGCAGCTGCCGCTGCTATAATTAGGGGACCACGGCCCGGAGGCACGTGGAGGCTCTGACGCCAGTCCGGCGGGCTGAACCAAATAAAGGCAGAGGCCCGGCTCCCGCCGGCGAGGCCGCGGGCTCGGTGCGCAGCAGCCCGGGGCGGAGAGCCCTGCGGCCCAGAAAAGATCAAACGCGCGTCAGCAGCAGCCCGGCCTCGCCTGCCAGGACCCTGACGCCGCCCGCTGTGCTGGGCGCGTCCACCGAGCGCAGAGGGCACATGACCAGAGCTGCCCCAAATGTCACTCCCTTTTTGGAAGTCATGATGCTGCTTCCCCGCCACCCCCTCTAAAGACTGTGGCTATAATAAGGCAAATATTCCGTGCTGGTGGAGTAAACAGACCTGTTTAAGGGACACCCGTCAGGGGAAAGCACGCTAATGCACAGCGCATGTCATAAAATGTATTTACCCAGCAGGCCTCAGGACATGCCCATATGGGACACCAAGCACTGTAGCAACTGCCTACCAGAGGGGAGTTGCCTTTTTTTTTTTTAATCGAGAAACCTGAATTTAAACTAGAAAAAAAGTTTTTCCCCCCACCTCATCATAGTACCATTGGGCACTCGGTGTGCCACCGAATTAATTAACTTATAATTAGTGTTGATTAGTCAGTATAATACTCTACAATAATATCTCCAGGACAATAACAGGCATGGCCCCTGTTCTTTTAATTTTTTTGAAATGACATTGAAATGACATTCATTACCAGCCTTGGAGTGCAGGCATAGGAGACTCCCTGTGGCCTGTGTTGTGTGATGGTTGTAGGCACTGTTTAAAAAGCGGCTGTGGTAACTAAAGAAATGGGAAGCTAAAATAAACAAACAAATAAATAACGCCTTTCACCAGGCTTGAGAACACCTAGACACAAGCCCACCAAAGACTTCCTTCGATAGCAGGCACTAAAAAAATTTTAGAAGCTGGTGATGGAAATCACGCAGAACAGTCTGCTCCTTGCATTGTTGTATCGAGGAACACGGAAGCCTTTCCAGGGTGCAATCTGATTCCCGGGAAGTTATTCTCGTTCCTCTCCTGTGGCTGTGTGTCGTGACCCAGCAGTGCGGCAGCCACCAGAGATCTCGGAGAGGGAGTTCTGCTGAGAGACACAAGTTCACGGTTCGTGAGAACACTCAGAAGGGTCCACTTCTGTTTGAGATACACTAAAACACTGGAATCAAGGTCAGGGAATCTCCAGGTGCTCTCGGGCTTTGTGTGGTCATTTCGGGGTATTCAATGCACTTTTGTGCTCCTATGCCTTACTCGTATGTATTTTTTAAAAAGTGACCGTGTACTTACGTCAGTGGGGCTAAGGAATCAAACCGGGAAATCTTTGGGACAGCTTTTCGGTTTCTCAGTGACCAGACGCAAGAAAGCACTGGGTATATGCAATACCCATCAGGTACTTGGGCGCAGTGAAACATACCACTGAAAAATACAGACTTTCAGTTACATTGAAAGGGGTAAGAGCCGACAGCTTGGACACATGGAGAGAAGGGGCTCCCCCTGCTGTCACAGAGAAGATGTGTTGTCTCTCGGGCCTGCATCTGGGTATAAAGCATCCCACCAGATGCTCTGTGAAGTTATCGTCACCTTGGAGGGTGTACAGTCCTATTGAAGATAAAATAAAAATGCAGGCCACAGAGAAAGGAAATGGGTATTTTTTTAAAAGGTTCTGGGCTCAGATTCATTTAGCGAAAGAGAGTTTGCGTAAGTCCCTTCGTGCTTTAAAAGCCAGGATGGTATTTGTGTAGCTGCTGGCAGGTAGGAGAGGGGGCAGGGGGTGTGAGGATATGTTTGATCATATGGCCTTTTTGAAAATAATTTTAAAAAGCTTATGTTTGATGAAAAATAAAGACATCTTCCCTGAATTTTGACCTCAGTAAAAATACTGGGTTTGTAAAAAGTCATTACATTTTCTTGTAAATCGCAGTTCTCTACAAGTGGACCCTCAGACACCATGAACACCGCACATTCATAGTGGTAGAAGGAACTCATTCAAGGTCTTGTCGACAAACAGTACCGAAGTCGAGGGTCAGCCATGACCAGGCTGGGCCAGGGATCATCCATCTGTGAGTCTGTGGGGGGCAGGGGGAAAGTTGAGGACTTCCACAGAATTAGGTCAAAACTCATCCTGGATGAGAAGAATCACAAGCAGGAGAAGAGATGGTGCATGCAAGAGTCAAGAGATTGGAGGGAAAAAAATTACACAAAGAGAACCAACAGCTGGTCGTAGTTACTCTCATTCACTCACCAGTTCACTTAATCTTTCTCTCACAAATTTCTCTCGTGGTAAAGCATGCGGGCTCTGGAATCAGAGTGCCCACGCTTCAGTTCCAGCTCCACCTCTTTTCAACCCTTGTGCTGACCCCTCTAATCTCCACTGAGTTACCTGTAGACCTCCCAGTGTTGCCGAGGGAATCAGTTGACAGGCGTATGTAACAGGCATACTGTGATGTGTGGCACATGTGAGGTACCTGTGAATGAGGTGGTCTGCCTGGTAGTCATCCTCGGGGCCGGGCGGAGGGCTGGAGTCAGGTAGCTGTGACAAGACCGTGCCTTTAGCTGGCTCCCAGAATCCTTTTCTTCATTATTTTGCCCCACTGGCCGCGCTTTACTGCCTCCTCATCTCACCTTTTGGAGTGCCCCGGGCTCTGTCCCATTTCTCCTATTTATTCTGTGACACATATTTTATGGAGACAGAGACAGGTAGATACTTATTTCAATAAATTGGCTCATGTAACTATGGACCTGGAGTGTCTAAAATCTTAGAATGGGCTCAGGGGCTAAAATTTCACGGATAAGTTGATGGTGTAGTCTTGAGTCTGAAATCTGCAGGCTGGAAGCTCAGACAAGGTGTTTGTTTGTTTGTTAATGCAGCCTTAAGAATTCCCTCTTCAGAAAACCTCAGTCCTTGTTTGTAAGTCCTTCAACTGATTGGATGAGGCCCACCCACATTGTGTAGGGCAATCTGCTGTAGTCTGATTTAAATATTAATTACATCTAAAAATACCTTAAAGCAACATCTAGACAGGTATTTGACCAAACTACTGAATACCCTGGCCTAGGCAAGCTGACAGATTAACCATCATGGTCCTTTCTAAGGTTTCTCCTCCTGCCCTGGCCAACCCAGATCGCGATGCTATCAGTTATGATGCTTTTAAGTGCAAAGTCACCAAACATCCCATTGAAGTATGCTTAAACTATAAAAGGAACTTGTTGGCTCTTGGGACTGAAAAGCCCACAGGCAGGCCAGCTTCAGGTCTGACTCCCTTCAGGTCTGAGCTACATCTCCCCCTGGTTCCCTTGGCCCTGCCTTTCTGGTGTTGATGTTATATGTTCACACAGGCCTCCCTGGAGATTTAAGATGATCGACACACTTCCTCATTCACATCCAAGAAGAAAGAGCCTAGGATCCCTTCTGGAAAGAGTGCCAAGCTTCTCTCTGATTGGCTTGGTCTTGACATCATCTTGTAGCCAAGGGAATAACCTCCTCTGATTGGCTTAGGCCTCCCCATGTTCTAACCAATCCCACGGAAGGAGGTGGATTGCCTTCACTGGCATCTAGTTAAGGTCTTCCCTAAAGCCAAGGGTGGGATCAATCCCAGCACAACTAGTGGCTGCTATAGTGACCGACGAGTGGATTAAAAGGTGGGAGATACCTTAGTGCTCCAAAGCAGGGCGGTAGCATTGCACAAACCAGGGACACCTGCAACATGAAATCCTATGGGGACAGTGCCATACACATGCTCACTGGGCTGAGTGGTCTCAAGGGCCACAGGCAGCAGTACTGACCCAAAGAGAGGACAGCTGCCCAGAAGGAGGGGTGCTCCCCCGACCTCCCGTGGATGTCAGGCAGGACTGTTAGTCCATAGGGAGGGATGGTGGCTGGTCAACTGGCAGACCTGTCCCCATGTCAGACTTCCTTGTTCCAGATCTGTTGGCCTCTCTGCCACTGAGGGAGTGACCCCCAGGGCTGAAATCACAGCAGCCAGCTTTACAGCGGTCATCAGGACAGGGCAGACTTTGAGCCACTCGACCCCAAGGGGGACAATGCACACTGTTCTGATGGGGAGGCTTGGCAGGGGCAAAGCATGCAGGAGGAAGGTGGCCGAAGGCACGCTGGGGCGGCCCAGGCGTGGGGTCGTCTGAGATTCTGATCTGTAGTTTGTTCTTATTTAAACGCGTGCACACACACACACGAAGTGGCAGGCCTTATTAACAAGCTGGAAAATGCCTCTTTTGCCTGCCCCTCCCCGTGTGCGCCACCTCCCTCTCCACCATGCTGCCACTGCAGTGACTGGTACAGGCATGTCACAGTGAGTGCCAGGGGAGGGGACCGCTGCACCCTCACGGAAGAGAACACGGGTTCTGTGAGCACAGTGCTCTCTTCACGAGGCCCAGCCCAGCACACTCACCCTCCTACCACTCACCCCTACCTGTGTGTGGCAAGGGTCTTCCAGCATCCGGGCAACGCGGTCAGTGAGGCACTGCAGGGACCAGCACCCCATGCTGGACCCGAGAGCACGGGAGCAAAAACCTGTGCTTTTTCTTGGAAAAGAGTTTCATGCTGGGCTAAGGGCAGGCGTTCGGGGGGCCAAACATTGCTGGGGCTGACAAACATGCTGCCCCTTAAACAGGCTGTAATTCTAAGTTGTGCAGAAAAGAAACATTCTTCTCTTGAACACACAGGCAATGCGTTAGGATGCACGAGGCCTTTGCATCTCCCAGGTCATTCATCCTCAACAGAGCCCACAAAACAAATGTGTTAGAGGCCCTTTCACAGGACAGAAAACTGAGGCAAAGAAAAGGTCAAGTGACTTTAGAGTTACAGTTACTAGAAAAGCCTCTACTTAAATCCAGGTCTTCTAGCCCTAAATCCCACGTTTTTACACACCCCACCCCGCCCCCCATTTTTTAGCATTTACAAGTAGTGCCCGGGCCTTCTCAGAGCAGGAAGTGTTAAGATGTGTCACAGAAAGGCTGAGACGCACCCCAGCCTTTGTTTACCCACCGTTCCCCTCTTCGCATCTCGCTCAGTTCGCTGAGGGAGGGGTCACGTGCTCTTGCCGTCTTCACTCTCCCGGTGCAATCAGGAAGACAAGCCAGAAGGGCTGGAATGATTAGCTGGGAATCATTAGAAGAGGGAAAGAATTTATATTCACGGTGACTGTATTTCCAGTCCATTGATTAGGCAATTTTGCTTTTATGAATCAATTGTGTTGATTGCTGTGCTGAATTAAATGTGGGCTTGCTATCACAAAGAAAACATAAATTATTAGCTATAAAATCCATACTGGCCATGCATGGAGCGGGACAGCCTGTGGAATACCTATTCCCTCTTCCTGATTTCTGTCTAGGCTTTCTTGAGGGGCGCTCATGAATTCCTCAGGTCTGTGGAGGCCTGTGGCAGGCTGCTCCAGCAGCAGGCTGGTGTGCGACATTATTAAACGTCCCTTGTAGGTGCAGGGTGGCATTCGGGGCACTTCGGGGCAAATAGCAATGACCACGCCCACCCTGAGTTTCTGCAGCTCCCATTGGAAGGCAAGGCGGTTTTTAGAAATATGGATAATCACCTTTGGAGACTCTGATAACAAAGGCACCAACAGCCTCATCTCTTACTAATGTGTTAAATTCTTCTCTGAGGGTATACAGAGGTCATTTCATAAATTGTGCATTTTTCACTGATTAATCTCAGTGGATCAACTCTTGCCGTAGCAAATATGATAATGTCCAACAATTGTAATTAATAATCAGGGACCTGTATTTCATAAGAGAGTGTTTGAAAAGCCAAATAATCACTTTTTAAGAGGAAACTACAGGATTGAATGGGGCTGAATCAGGGTGGAAGGAAGAATGGAAATAGAAAAACAACAGTGGATGAGGTGCTCAGGGGACTAAAACCTTGAAAGACTGGTGTTTCGGCATTAAGAACAAAGGGGAAGGTATTTGGCTTTAATACGCTGGGATTTTAAGGATTCTAGATACCAGAAGTTCCACAAATTAATTCATTAATTAATTCATTGGACAAACATTTATTGTATGCATCCTGTATGTTGAGGCACTGAGGAGTTTAGATTATTATAATTTTTTAAGGTCTAGCAGTCTCGTGGTCTACAGAATGAGAACTGGACCACGAGGGAGAGATTTGATGAACGTGGCAGAAAAAAAGAAAGTGGGGGAGAGAGAAAAAGAAAAAATGAAAGAAGTAGCAGCAGCCACCGTGGGAAACAAAACCCCCGTTGCAAACCCCGATTTTCCCAAATGAAATATGTATCATATTTCTTAATTAGCGCTTGTCTAGTTCCCTCCCCAAACATCAGTCACACACAAGCCTGTCACACAACCTCTGTGAGTCCCTGCCTCAGCTGGTGCTGTGAGGAACACAAGAGGAATACGATTCGGACCCCGTTCTGGAAGAACACAGAGTCTGTCTGGAAATTCCAGGCTGAAGCACACGCAGCGAGGCTGCGACCTAAGGCAGCACGGGAGCAGAGGCAGCGAGGCCTGACCCACACGGCGGGCGCAGGCCTCCCAGAAGGGAGTGCGCAGGCGCAGAGGGAGAGGAAGGCTTCGTGCAGAAAGCTGACCGAGGGAGGCTCGGAGGGGGCACGCCGGAGCGGAGATGGGTGACGTCAGGTAGAGCAGAAACCAGCGCTGTATGCTTGGGCGCAAGAGGAAGAGTGTGGCTGCTCCAACGGCGGACCGTCACTGCGGGGGAGGGGGGATAAAGCTTAACTAAATGGGGGGAGGTGGGACTTCTGGGCCCAGAAACTCATGCGTGGGGGGGCTGCGGGGTCTGTGATGACAGCAGCTGGTCAGGTGGCCCTGGCAGAGGGATTGATAAAGAATGGAGCAAGGCTGCTCCTGGCCATTCTGTCAGTCCCATTCAGGGGCACTGGCCCAGGAGGGTGGCAGAGAAGGAGCTAGCAGATGAGACATTTCCAAGGAGTTGGTAAGGCTTGGAGACGGAGCTGAGTTAGAGCAGGGATGAGGGGTTGGGAACTCCAAGGCCAAAAACATGAGCCATTGACCTGAAAGGGCCAGATAAGTAAATAGAAATGACTTGCTGTTGAACTGGGACATACCTCAGGGCAAACACAAAACCACCCCCCCCCCCGCCGGCCCCATCCTGACCCCCAGAGTGAGGCAGGTGGTAAGGCCCCAGGTGCCAGGTGGTGGGGGCGAGGAGCCCAGGAGGTGCCGTGGTCCTTCACCCTAGGGTCCCTGTGTGGATCTGTGGGGCAGGAGCCCCCCTGTCCATCCCTCCATGGCTCCCTGCTCAGTGTGCGCACCTGCTCATGTACAGGCACCAGGCACTGAGCTAGGGGCCCTGGCATCAAGGAGGAAGACATAATCCGGGTGGCAAGGAAGCTCAGCCCCCTTGGCTGAGCAAGGGACAGCACAGATCAATAGATTTTCAGAACTGGAACCAGGAGCGATAAATCCAAGGAAGGCGCCTGAAATGGCCAGTCAGGGTGTTTATTCCAGGCTACTGGTTGTGCCGGGGTTGAAGGCAGTAAAGATTTCAGAACTCTTTATTCCCTGCAGGAGCAGAGATGGCATGATTGAGGGCTGGACGTTTGTGTCTCCAAGTCCAGCAGTGTGGAGTCGCGGCTGGCGTCCCAGCTGCCGGAGGATGCCAGCCAGCACGGGCCCCCAGGAGGCTGAGCCCCAGAGCAGTCTCCTGCCTTTTAAACTGGAGGACAAAGTTGAGCAAAAGAGCACGGGCTCATGTTTATCTTTACTAGTTTGGATACTTTTAAATACTGTTTCATGGGTGGGTAGACATGCCAGCAAGTGCAGATTTCCTTTCCGTGGCTCTACGGCACCGAGAGGGAGTCAGCTCACCTCTCACACGGGCTCAGTGGCGCCAGGCCCAGGCAACCTTCTTCCCGGCACCGAGTGTCCAGAGGGACCCAACGCGTACCCGCTGCGCCAGCGCCAGCGTCCACCACGCACGAGGTAAAGGCAAGCTCCTGCCTCAGCTCTGCTTCCTGCCGTCCACGGGCCCACGTGCCAGGAGTCCCAGGGCATGGAAGCCTGGACCCCACGGAGGAGACCCGGCCTTGAGTCCACTGTTCAACTGCTGCCGGTCTCTGCCCCGCGGGGCTGCCTGGCACTTACTACAGCGCGGACTGGAGCCAGGGGCCTCGCCTCCAGGGCCAGGCCTTAGGTGTGTGTGACCTGCCACCTTCGTCCCCACGACTTCTCTGACTTCACCCTCCCCCAGAGACATCCTTGAGTCCCAGATGCCTTGCTGTCAGACTGAGGGTAAGAGGCATGGGACAAGGGAATTTAGCAAAGTCAGTATTAGTCTAGATTTAAAAAAAAAGATTTTATTTATTTTTAGAGAGAGGGGGAAGAGAGGAAGAAAAAGAAAGAGAGAAACATCAACTGTGAGAGAAGCATGAATCAGTTGCTTCTCACACGCTCCCAATCCAGGGAGGGACCTGGCCCGTAACCCAGGCATGTGCCCTGACTGGGAATCGAACCTGTGACCTTTCAGTTTGTAGGACAGTGCCCAACGTACTGAGCCACACCAGCAGCGCTAGCCTAGATATTAACATGAAAAAGTGTGGGTTCAGATTCAGCCTCCACAGTGTACCTAGGTAGGTAATCTCGAACAGTTATTCATAAGGCTCTTCTCCCTGACGGAGGCTGGGCGTGAGAACAGCAGCGGTCTCCCCCGGGGTCTGCGCACACTGGGATACATGTATAAAGGGCTGGGCACGGCCTCAGCGACCGGGTGCGTGCTCGGTGCACGGTCCTCGGCTCCAGAGCGGGGCCGCCCCCGAGCTCTGCTAGGACCAGGCGGTGCTGCCTGCGCCTTCTTTGCTGCTCTGCACGGCAACCTGACTCAGACACCAGCTACTGAAATACTAAACCTCACTGAGGGGGAGAACCCCCTCTGGGGTGCCTCCAGGGCACAGCGTGGACCCCACTTGGCCACCCGTGGTTTTGTTTTAATTTTTGGTTAGTCTGACGGCTTAAACAAGAGTTAACCCTACAGTACCCCCGCCCCCCCTCCGCACACACACAAACACCACCCACCAAAAGATGGAGGTGGAGGAGGGAACATGGCAGCCAGAGGTAAATCCCGCCCAGCAAGCCTGCAGGAAAGCCCACAAAGAAAGGGGCTCTTGGCCAAAGGAGATTCTATTTTGCAGTTTCCAAAGGTAAGGGAACCCTTCCAACACTTTTTTTGCTTACAGGCTCAGAATTTAAACATAGGACACTGAGTGGCCAGAACCTTGGCCCACCCCTGACAGCCCGGGGCGTGTTGCCAGCGCCAGGAGTTCGAGTTTCTGCCCAGTAGGCTTGTAACCTGAACTATTTCTACAAACCCCGTTCTCAGTAGCCAGCACATATTCTGAGCCACAGAATTCTGAGAACTATTGCACTTGTCAGCTGCTCGGTCACACGGCCTTCGGCCTGAACGCTTCCATGGAAGACGGGGTAGTGCTCGTGTTTGAGCTGGTCCATCTCATCGTCTTGTAACAATGGGCATCTCTGGGTGGTCACCCAAGGCTTTGTGACATCACCCAAGGCCTGCCGTCATCACCCAGACACACACACACCACCAGGCCTGCCTCCATCGGCCAGTTTTCAGGATCCGTCCAGGCCGCCACTTAGAATGACTGGTAACGAATTCACAGATACTTTGGATCATTTCACACAACTTCACCAAAGAACTGACCGCACGAGGAAAATGCCGTTTAATTAGGATACTATCCCACGCTTAGACACTGCCTCAAAGGAAAGAAGCCCTGAGATTGTACCTTAATTTTCAAAGCGTCACAGGCCCCTGAGGCCAACTGGGAGTGACCGGCTGTGTTTGTCCCCACTCACTGCAGGTCGATAAAGAGAGGGCTGGGCAGAGCTCGGGGACTCGGGCCACGAACCCAGAGTTCAGGATTTGTACTTCAATACTCACTTTCTTTGCTGAATTTGTGCCTACTAACAACTACCAGGGGCACAAAAATCTATGTGGAATGGCTTTCTGTGAGCCCCGATTGGATGAGGAGGGCGCCTGTGGGCGCAGCCGGGCCGTAAATAGATGTCGGTAGTGGACAAATATAGAAGGGGCCTGTGCTCAGCGAAGCCGCTCTCCCACGCGGAGCCCCTGCTGGTATGCTCGCTGCTCTGTTTGGAAGCTTTCTTCCTTTTTTTTTTTTTAGGTTCAGTTGCCTGATAGTACAAAGAGTCCTGTGTTATGTCTCAACACTACTATTCATACCCTGTGACCCATTAAGCACTGATTCCTTGGTTGGGGTTCTCCCAAAATCTTGAGGAAAAAAAAAAAGAGGGAAAAAATAGCCCGGCTGGAAAAAAAAAAAAAAGGGTTCTCATTTACAATCCTGAAGTCAAGAATTTGGAAACATGACCCCAGCCAAAGCCTTCAGAGGCCTGGTATCAAATGCTGTTATTTTTGGGTGGCTTGAAAATAAGGCCGGTTGAGGAGTGGACAAGGTGCCCCAGGGGCTGTGGCAGGAAGCCGGAGCCGGGTGGGCGGGGGCTCTCTCGGGAGGCGTCACTGGCTGGACAGCCAGCTGCCGGGCTGGCCCCGGGCCTCACCAGCGCAGTTGGCATCCAGGCCAGAGGAGAACTTCACCTTCCCTCCGTCCGCCCCTCTGTCCACCTCCCGCCTCCTCAGGAGGACAGAGACGTCAACACTTCCCTCTGGGCTCCTGCAGGCAACTGGGCGCCCCTTCCTCCCTGGGACCCTGGGAAATGAACCTCGGGGAAGTTAAAAACCCAGCCTCCTCCAGTGGACACAGTCTGATTTAAATAGGCAGCATTTAAAAGTGAACTGCCTCCCACTTTCAGGAAAGACGCCTGCTGGAGATATTTTTATACTCTGTCTGCTGTGGGTGAAAGGGATTCCTGGTTTAAGATGTCACCGGTGCTGCGTCCCCGAGTCCCGAGGGGTGTGTCAGTATCAGAGCTGAGGCACTGCCTAGGTTTGGGAACACAGCTCCCTCGCCCTGTCCCGCCAGGTCCCCCTTCCCAGCACATGCACGAAAACACACACAGGAAAGCGCACGTGCACACACACGGACACAGGCATGCTCACGTGGGTATGCACACGGGCACACACAGGCACACATGTCTGCCTGGCTCAGGGGCCAGATGGCTGTCTGCTGTGTCATGGACTTCCAGTACGTGCTTGAAAATTGTTTCGGGGGGAGCATGAGAGAGATGTGGGTGAGACCCTTCTGTGCAAGTAGTGACCAAGAGAGATATCGACCAACCTTCTGAGCATACTCTGGAGGGAGAGGCAGGGAGCTTAAACTCTGTCCTTGCATTACTCACATGCCCTCAGAGTTACCTTAGATGAAAAGGTCTTTAAACTATTTAGACTTGACCCCCCCTTTGTAAGAAAATGGATGTGTAACTGCCTATGAACCTTGTAAAATATAAGATTGTCTATCCCTGCCCAAGTGCCAGGTGTAGGCGTCTCCTAGACTGCTTCTGGCCCAGCTGGCCCTGCAGCCTCGGCGCCCACTGGCCCTCCCACGGCCACTCTGCCCGTCCTGAGATCTGGCCCAAGCGCCAGCATCTCCACGGGCTGCACAGTGAGGGCGGCCCGGCCCCATCTGAGTGCTTGTGTCGGAGTGGGGGCTATGGGGGTGGGTGTATGCGGGCACAAGGAGGCAGCGCTGCTCACCGGTGGGGGGCACCTTAGAAGGGGGTGAGAGAAAGGAAGGGAAAGTGGGGAGCGATGATTAGGAAAAGTACCAAAGCTGGACTTCAAATGTTGTGATAGGCCTGGTTAAGGGCGTTCATTTTAAGGCCTGTAGGAGGCCGTGACTTTTCGTAGAAGAGTGTCCAGGTTGCTTGTGTCCGAAGCAGTATAATGAACCTGGTGGGCCAGAAGTGTTTGTCAACGAACGACTGAATGTCTGTGGCCAGGCGACTGTTGCAGAGGGCTCTGGTGATTCTGCTACAGCGTTTGTCCCTGGTACATTTCGTCCCGCCCCCACCTTCACCCAAGGAAGCCCTCACCCCCTGTGGGACTGAAGGTATGTGGAAGCCTTCGGAGGTGATTGGATGTCAGTGGGGCCGTGGGGGTGGGACCCCAAGGAGGGCATTGTCGTCCATGAGGGGAGGAAGCGAGACCACTCTTGGCCACGTGAGGACACAGTGAAAAGACAGCCCCCAGGTGTGGGCTACCCCAGGATCGAATCTTCCAGCCCCCAGCACTGGGAGAAGCACATGTCTGCTGTTGAGGCCACTCTGTGGCATTTTGTTTCAGCAGCCGGATGAGACTAACACAGAAGCCACCCAGAATGTGTTACTGTAAATAAAGTCATTGTCTGTGCATAGCTCAGTTCCTCATCAGAGGCACAGTGTGAGCGGACGTGGACCTGATGACCCTCTTGGAAAGGGTCCTTCTCAAAGACAGGCTCTCTGCCCACCCCCTGCCCCAAACAGAGGCGTGAGTCTGCAGCCCGGTCCAGAGGGGCAAACAGTTCACAGTACGTCCTACAGGGGCTTAGGGAGGCTTCGGATGGGTTCGTGTAAACGTAACGCACAATGGTTTTCAACAATGCTGTGCTTTTCTGCCTTCACGATGCAAAGTGAGCATTCCGTGGGGTTTTGACTTAGCGTAACGTGGGCTCACAAGTCCCTGGGGGTGGACGTGCAGCCGCATCCCTCCAGGAGCAGTGCGGTCTGTCCTCCTCCCACTGCTGGGCTCACTGCCGGGCGTTTTCAGATGCTCCCTCTCCTGTGCCAGGCCGTTCAGTTTTCTCAGGAATTTCATCTTGGACTTGGCCCTTTTGACTGATTCTTGATGGTCTGTACATAGTTTGGAGAGCACAGCTGTTGGATACAAGAGATGGGCACTTTATAAGTTGTGTTTTCATATACTAGAAGAAAAAAGAAACTCACTGTCTTTATTTCCATCCAGAGCAAATGACCTTGAACTCTTTCTGCACCTGCCAAACAGTATCAACTGTGCTGCAACATCTAAGATGTCAGCGCAGTTGTTCCCCCTTCTCCTGAGGGGGGATATGTCCCAAGACCCCCAGTGGATGCCTGGAACCAAAGCCAGTGCCGAACCCTGTCCATGCTGTGTGTTTTCCTGCACACATACACATGCATACATATGTACATACACACACGTACATGCGTACAGACATATGGAAGATAAAGTTTGTGTAAATTAGGCATAGTATGAGGTTAACAAGAACGATGAAGCAAAACACTTGGGGCAATATTCTGCAACAACAGTTATACGAAGGTGCTCTCTCTCCCATAACTGGGCTGACGACGGTGGGAGTGTCTGCAGCGTGGATGCGCCAGACAAAGGGGGGATCCGTGCTTTGGGCAGGATGGGGAGAGACGGCATGAGGTTTCATCACGCTATTCAGGAAGGGGTGCAATGTAAAACTTATGAATTGTTTACTTCTGGAATTTTCCATTTAACGTTTTCACAGTAACTACAACCTCAGAAAGCCAAACCGTGGTTAAGGTTGGGGGACTAGTGTGTATATGTAATTTTCTATGGAAGTAAGATGTAATCTTTGTCTACACCTCTCCCTCCTGATAACTTTTTAAAAAGTTACCTTTTACATAGAAGGGAAAGGAGGGAGAAAGAGAAGGAGAAAAACATCAGTGTGTGGTTGCCTCTGGCGCGCCCCGTACAGGGCACCTGCCCCTCAACCCAGCCATGTGCCCTGACTGGGAATCCAATCAGCGAGCCTTTGGTGCGCAGGCCGGCACTCAGTCCACTGAGCCACAGTGGCCAGGACGACCCTCCCGATAACTTCTAATGTCCAGTGTTGGTTTCCACCCAACGCAACAACGGAGCAGAGAGCTGAGAGGAAGGCAAGGCCTCCGGTCACGAGGCCCCCGGACTGTGTCTGGGGAATCCTGGAGACTCGAAGACTATGTGCCTTAGCCTCCAACTCCCAATTTGGACACTCCTGGCACTTCTTGACACCATTAAGGTCTGGAGCTCTGCCAAGAAGTGAATAGCCTTGGTCAAAGCTCTGAAATCCTTTTTATTCCTGAATAAAAAGCATCCTTTCTGAAACACATGTATTGTCTCAAAATTAATACATTTTGGTAGAGGGAAGGCCAACCTGAACGAAATTAAGACTTCCTCCTCCAAAACCAGAATCCTGTAATCCCTAAGGACCCTTCTTCCAGTAGCACCAGTGATCCCGGCTCGTCCCAGCGCCCTCGAAGGCCTCCTCTGCTTTGCAGCTGAGCAAAGCACCTTTGTTTTGGGGGCAAAGCTCGGGAAGTGACTTGGAAGGTATGTTGCGCTCTGCTGTACTGACCAGGGAGGCCAGTTTGCTGGGGTCCAGGCTGCCTGCTGCCAGGTGGACATTTGGGCCCAGCCCCGCTCTTCCCCTCCCCTCCCCTCCCCTCCCCTCCCCTCCCCTCGGCAGGAGCCCGGGTTTACTTCCTCTCCTCTCTGCTCCCCGGCCATCTGTCCCCCTCCACAGAGCCTCCCAGAAGGGACTTTCCAGTGTCATAGGCAATCACTGTCCCCTGACTGAGCCCGTGGACCCCATGACACTCACATATACATGTGGGTGATATTTGTCAAATAAGCAAAAATAGTTTCGAAAAGTGAAGTGACAACGCCAACCCCAGTCTTACTGTAAGCGCATTATAAAGCCTTGGGCTTGCCTACGAACACCCAGGGGACTGGTTAAAACCCAGACTCGGAGACCATAGGTCTAGGGTGCAGAGAGACAGCCTGCATTTCCCACAAACTTCCGGCAACCCCAAGACCTTACTTTCAGGGGGAAAGTACAGACCTCAAGGTCCCTGAGGCCCATGCCTTAAGTTGAACTTGTGTCCTTGGTGTTTAGCGTGGTAGTTGGTACACAGAAGGGAGACAAGGAGAGAGAGTGCAGATTATGGGTTTCCCACTGGATAAGTCTTCCGTGCCCTTGATGTTCAAAAGCGAGACCTGCACAGGAGAAATGGGTGTGTGACGGAGGCCATGGCCAGTGCTCTTAAAGAGGGCTCCATCCCAGCTCCTCCTGAGGGTCCTTCCTAGCTCTCCACAGATGGCCTCCTGGTCCTCGGGGCTTGCTTCCAGTTTGGCACATCCCTGGGAGGCGCCAGGATCCTCTCAAAGGCTTGGGAGCTGTGATCACGGGCGAAAGCAGGCCTCTGATCACACCTCCTTTTATCTCCAGTTCCCTGACCAAGTGGGGTGTCTCCCTGTCCTTGGAGAGCTTCTGATGGGCAGCGCTGCCTTTGGAAAGGGATAGAACTCTTCTGGCTGCAGAGTTTGCATTAAAGCCTCGAGACCCTCGGTGCTTTTCATGTCTGCTCCTCCTAATTTATAAGACAAAGCCCCCAGTGTTTGATCTCTAAAATACATCTCGCCAACAGCAAGCCGGTCCAGGGCTCAGCTCCTCTGACAGGAAGCTTTCATCCTAAAGAACTGTCGGAGCCGGGGAAGTCGGGCGGTGTGCCAGTCCGCAGGTCACAGGAGCCGGAGCCTGCGTGCATCCTTACTGGTTTCAGGAAAAAATGCTGTCTAAATAAGCAGCGCTTCCCAGGAGGAAACTCCCCTCGTCCCAAGCCACTTTAAAAATCATAAAATAAAACAAATAAGCCGGAAAATTATCCTAATACAATGTTAATACCTACGGTTAAACTCAACTCAATAATAATATTTGTATTATTATTCAGTTGTATTTTCTGTCTTTTTCCTTTAAATGTGTCTGCTTTCACGTGTATACTAATTTTTACATAATTCTGACGAGTGATATGTATAAATGGCATATGCTTCTTTTTTCACTTGATATTTTATCTGTCATGGGTATTGTCCATGTTATTATAGCTCGTATCGTCATCATTTTCGTTTCTGCATAATATTCCATTAAATGACTAGGCAACATTTATTAACTCAGTTACTAATGCAGTTAAATGTGTTAGGTCTTTTAGTTGTTTCAAAGGTTTTACAAATACACTTATGCCAATCATGTAATTTAGCAAGTATCTCTACACACTGCATCTTTATTTTATTTTTTTTGCATTCAACTCATTTTTCTTTTTTTTTTTTAAAGATTTTATTTATTTACCTTTAGAGGGGAAGGGAAGGAGAGAAGGAGAGAAACATCAATGTATGGTTGCCTTTTGTGCGCCCCCTGCTGGGAACTGGCCTGCAACCCGGTATGTGCCCTGACTGGGAATCGAACTGCGATTGTCTGGTTTGCAGGCCCGTGCTCAATCCACTGAGCTACACCAGCCAGGGCTCATTTTTGTTTTTTTAATTTTTAAGAGAATTTCTTTTTTTAAATTTTATTTAGTTATTTTTCAAGTACAATTTTTTTGTCTATTTCTCCCATCCCAGCCTCCCCCGCCCCTTGCTCCCCACCTCCCTCCCATTTCCACCCCCCTACACACCGCATCTTTAGATTACCCAGTGAGCTTGAAACATAACAGATTTATTAATCCTGACATTTTAAAAGGATATAAACAGGGGACACAATGATAGCATTTACCAAAGGGTCTGGGCAGCAGGCAGGGGACAGACATGGCCTGGGGCCTCAGCCGGGGAAAGGGGACCAGGCGAGAGACTCCCTCCTGGGGAGTCCGGCCGTCTCATCCGCCGCCCCCCCCCGACAGTGCCCCCTAACAGGATGGTGGGGTGAACAGGGAAATCCCACGAAAGCACTCAGTAGGCGCCTGTCCCCAGGGGGCACTCAGTCAAAGCCAGCAAACACTGCGGTGGCAGCCATCAGCATGGGCCCGAGCTGAGCCCAGGGCTCCAGGGTCCTGTGTCCAGGCATCCGACAGCCGTCTACTCGGATGCATCTGCACAGCACCCACCAGGAACACACCTGCAGAGCTACGGCACTTCTACGACTGAAAACTAGCAAAATGTCAAACGGGGAGGAGTCTAATCATTCGTAAGCCTGTCTGGGCTATTGTTTGGCTAGCAATGTCTGGATGAGTAATAAGAATGAACACATACATTTAAAAATTAGATATTCATTTAATAAAATTTATTTCTTGCCTTTGTTTCAGCAAAATAATTAATTACATTCCTACCATCAAGATGGTGACTTTCTGTGATTCATTGGTAGCCATAATCTAACAGGTTAAAAATAAATGCAATTATATGAAAATGTAGAAAACTTGACTATATTTTATCAATATGTTAATGTTACAAGTTAAAATTTAATTATCTTAGGTATGTTTTCAGGAAAGCTATTTTTCTCCCCAAATACTCAAAATGATCCATGGCCACCAAAATGCAAAATATAAATTACTTAGTAAAGATCAAAAGTTGACATGAAAGCATTCAAATAGATCTGAAAGGTTTTTAGATTTTTAAAATGATTCAATCCCACCTTATTGTATGTTTTTTTATAAAACTGAAAACGACTTGCAATTCTAGGAAAGTTTGTTTAGTTGTTCATGTCGAAAACTGGTTTTACGCATCACTGGCTACACCTAGAACTATATCTACGCACAAAAGTCAAAGGACTATGAGTGAGGCTTTCAGGCCCCCAGAGCCCTGCGTCACGAAGGACACGGAGAGAACGAGAGGGTGGGCCGGTGGGCCTGCTGGGGAATAAGCAATCGCGCCAGACCTCACGACCTCCCCGCTGCCTGCTGCAGAGGAAAAGCCTTGCAAAGTAGTGAGTGGTCTTTTCTCTTTTCCCAGCACTGCCGCCGCTCAGGACCTCTCTCCCCAGCAGAGCTGTGGTCACTTCTGAGGGTGGTCGTGGTGCCCACACGTATTCTCCAGTGCCTTCTAGTTCAAGGACAACAGATGGGAAGAGGGGCCCTCAGGGCCCGCGCAGAGTTGGCCACAGGAGTGTGTATTCAGGATGACAGGTGGCTGCGTCTGCGCTGAGCACTACTCCTCAAGTGATGGCGTGCCTCTGTGTATTTTGGTGCGTGTGTGTGGGGGGAGCCCTTTAAAAATGGGAGGCCTGGGCCAGGGCCTCCCTCGACCATCTGTCTGTACAGGCAGGTCTGCGATAAAGACACAAGTGATGCTATGGACAAATATTTACCAGGGTGAGTTTTCTGCAGCGCGCAAACCTTCTTACAGAGGCTGCTATCCACATTTGTTACTCATTGACTTTGAATTTGTTCTAGAGCATTTCTCAATACTTCATCCCTCCTGGGTGGCTTAACTTTAAAACACTGGTCCTGCGCCAGTTTTGACATTGAGTTATGGGAGAGTGTAGAGGAGAGAAGGCCACTCCTTTCTCACCACCTGGACCAGTTCCAGAATCTGAGAGCCAGCCCTGAAACAGGGCTGCCCATCTGGGATGAAGTCCCCTGGGACGTGGCGGGGAAGGACAAAAGACAAGCGGAGGAGGAATAGGTCAGCTGACCCAAATGCAACTCAGGCCACCGCTTTGCATACTCACACACCCTGAATCTCGCCCCTTTTTCTCATTGTCTCTGAAGCTCAACTGAGCTTTACTTCCTATCAGAAGCCTCCAGCCATTTGTTAAGGGAACTCGACTGCAAGGGATTGGGGTGGAAGTGTCTTTGAATGGGAGACGGCTATTTTTGCTGCCTGATAGTGGTATCGCTGTCTGGGCGCTGGGACTCTGGATGGGGGTGGGGTGCAGCAGCAGCCTGAACTGGTGGGGAGGGGCGGTCAGAAGCCAAGGGGCCAGGCCCCAAGTCCAGCCCCACGAGCCAGGAGGGGTGGTCGGTAGCCAGTGATCTAGGAAATGGCAAAAGGTGGTGAACCCTTTCAGTAAAATATTCCCCTTTCTCTGCAGAAGTTGTGTGCACATTTGGCTTCTGTTCATCTCTGATTTCTAAAGAGCGTGCCCTGTGTTGCTTTGGGGTCCCTCTCTACCTCCGGTTTAGTCCACTCTTTGAGTATCATCATTTCAAAACTGCGACTTTCTTTCTTGTTAGGGCTGAAGCAGGGACCTCATCTTCCCTCTGCTCCACCTTAGGCTTTACATCCTTCTTCCCAGCACATGTTTCAGGAAGTGTTTATTATGACTGGATAATTACATTCTGTGACATCGATATCTGTGGATTTGGGGAATATAAAGACAGGTAGGATGGCAGGGAAAAGGGGGAGAGAATGACAAGGGTCCCCCTGGGAGGTGACAAATCACTTTAACCACTCCCTCGTGCAAGCCCACCGTGTATCCGAGCTGGCCTGGTGCTGACATCGTGGTGCAGCTCCTCCCAAGCTGCTTACAAGTTAGAGGGAAGCGAACCAGGCACGCAAAGGACTGTCCGTTAGGGGAGGCCAGCATGAGGCTGGCGGGGGGTGCAGCTCAGGCTGCCAGAGCTCATTGTCCAGGTCAGGACTCGTTTCTGGAGCCTTTGAAGAAAAGAGTGAGCAGCATTACAGAGGCCAGAAAGAGCTGGCTGCCCGGTAGCCAGGCACGGCCTGCAAGGACCTCAGCCATGCCTGGGGGGGGGGGGGTCGGGGATGCTCGGGCGAGACTCCTGTGCCCCACCCAGCAAGAGGGTGCCAGGAGAGCTTTATTTAGGAAGATAGATCTGCCGGCAAAGTGTACAGTGGATTAAAGCGCAAGAGACAGGAGAGGAAGAGGCCATCGGGCTTTGTGGCGGCACCTTGGTGTGGGAGAAACGAGGTCTGAGCTGAGGGACAGCACGGGGCTCTGCCGAGGACGCGGTCACCTACCGATGTGAGTAGGACGGCATCGAGACCGAAGGTCCTTCGGGCCCTGAGCACGCCCAGGTCTCCCGTGCGCGTTTCTGGGGTGCCTGTACCCAAAGGCCGTGACGTCGAGAACAGGATCTGCCTCGACCGGGTGCCAGGCTGGGGCGCCCTGAGGCGTGGTTAGGGGTGGCGGACGTTGTGTGAGGAGAACACAGCCTGTTGTTGGCCGAAGGTCGAGGTGACTCCCCTAGGCTTGGTTAATGAATAGCAGAAAACCCCAGCGGACTGCAGGAGTGGAAGAAAAATGGTCAGCACGTGGGTGGCAGTGCCAGAGCCTGGGTGGGCGGAAGGAGGGCGACGCTGGGACTGGTGGGACGGCACCTGCCCCAGGCCTCGCTGCCACTCAGTGCACGAGGCACGGAGAGGTTCCACGAGGGTCTGTGTTAGCAGAGGCACCTGGAGCCCGAGTCTGGGGCTGCAGCGTGCGTGCCGCACACCCACCGGGGAGTCCGCGGGGGTCCAGCACCTGCTGGGGAGTGGAGCGAGCAGAGCGGGAGGTGTCCAACTGGGAGGCTGCTCAGAGCCGAGCCTCGCCCCGTTCCATGGGAACACTGGGATGCACGGCCCTCGGGAGTCGGCCCTGGCGAGGCCAGGCCGCTGGGCCTCTGCGCCCCGCAGTCACCGGGTGTGGCCGCTCCCAGGAAGTCGGGGGAGAAGGACCGAGGCAACTCCCACCTGCGGAGGCAGGTTCCAGAGTCTCAGCCACGGGCCCTCAGCAGCCCTGAGGCCCTGAGGGAAGGAGGGCCTCCATCCTGAAGGAGAGAGTTGGGAGGCGCGTCTACTGAGCCATTAGATTCTGGGGGGTTGCCTCCTCTGTTCTGAGACTCTTGGAGTAGAGGCTGGCGGAGGGACTAGTGTCACCTAGGACTCTAAGCTCAACGCAGCTCAGGTGCTGCAGAGCCAGCAGGTGGTACCAAGGCCCATGAATCCAGAAGGGACATGCAGTCAAGGGCCTGGTGAGAGGTAGGGGGGTCTGCAGCCAGGGAGGTTGCTTTGCAGCCTGCCACTTACCAGCAGGGGACTTCGGGCAAATGACTTCATCGCTTTGTCCCTCAGTTTCTTCCTCTGTCAATTAGGGACAAAAATAGTGTTTACCTCATAGAGCCGTTGGGAAACTAGGAGACATGATGTGTGCCAAGTGCTTAGTGCTGGCTCAGACCGAGAGGGCGGCTGCTATCTCCACCCTGGTGCTGACAGTTGTTTCACCAGACCTGAGGGAAGGCCTGAGAAAAATGTTGGGGGCTGGAGTTTTAACCCAAGAGGGAAGTCAGATCCAACTCAGAAGCAAGAGGAGTGTGTTTGTGCAGAGCGGGGAGTCTCAGCAAATGCCCAGGACAGGGCCTTTCCTCCTGATTTCTATGGGTTCCTAACTATATGACGTATGGCAGAACCATCCCTATTAAAAATCCAAGAGTCACCCTGGCTGGTGTGACTCAGCGGATCGAGTGCCAGCCTGCAAACCAAAGGGATGGCAGTTTGATTCCCAGTCAGGGCACGCACCTGGGTTGCAGGCCAGGTCCCCAGCGGGGGGCGCGTGAGAGGCAGCCGCACATTGATGTTTCTCTCCAGCTTTCTCCCTCCCTTCACCTCTCTAAAAATAAATAAATAAATAATCTTTTTTTAAAAATTCAAGAGTTTTCTCCATTTTACCCCATTCCTATAGTTACGTTTAATGACAAACTAGTCCTTCTCACTCTGGTTTCTCGACCTTAAATCCCAAGTCCTGGCTTTACCAGCTGCGTTCCCTTGCGAAAGTCACTGTGACCTTCAGTCTCCTCTGGAAAAGAACGAGAACAACACCTGACCTCACTTGGTGGCACTTGGAAGTAGTTTGCAAACTGCAAAATGAAGCGCAGACGCCGCTGTGACCAGGGTGCTCTGCGGATGGCTCCGTTCTTTGGGCTGCGATGGCCGTGACCAACAGGCTGGAGAGGACAGCCACTGGTTAGTCAGCACGAAACGGTGCGAAGACCCTGGTGAACGCTGTCTTTTGTCCCTTCACGCACTAAGGGTCTTGTGAGCGTGTGTCAGGCCCGGTCCGAGGCCCCAAAGGTGCAGACGAACACAGGACATGCTCCGCTTCCTCCGGGCGCTCGCGGCGGCTGTGTGGTCGTGGGTGTCAGGTCCCACCGGTAGCGGAGGGTTTGCAGGTGCTTGCCCACCCTCTATCCCCCATCCCCTAAGGCACCCAGGTAAGGCCCTCGTGGGGACATTGAGGTCCTGCCAGGTGTGCGTCATCCCGACCCACAGCATGCTGGGCGTGGCCGGGGCATTTGGCCCAACACCTGCCCGTGGGTTGTAACTCCAAACGCGCCGGACACCTGTGCATGCGCAACCTGTTCGCTAAGTCGGCCTTCTCCTGAACAGGAATTTGAATATTTAACAAATTTTAATGTGTCAATCTTTTATTAGTATTACTCTGGTTTTAAAAAAACCTCTCTCCCCATTCCATGGTCAGAAAGTTCGAGAAGTTTTGTTTTCACTTTTAAATAGGAAATTTAACGAAAACTGGCTTCGAGGTGTTCTGTGAAGTGAGCGGCAGGGTCTTTTTCCCCAGCTGTGTGTGTGTTAACAGAGCATATTTCCAAGAGGAGAGGAAATGCGACCATGTTAAAAGAAAGAACGAGCAGACAGAACTGGGTTAGAGATTATAAAGGGTTAAGAGGAATCAGCCAGTCCCCAGAGTTTATTAAGGTGACGCCCTTCAGGCGGGGGTGAGGGTGCACACTCCCCTGCCACCGTGTCCCTCTGGGCACGTGTCACTTTGGGTTGAAGTCAGTGTCTGCGCTGACAGGGTGAGCCTGTGGGCTGGGCTGGGTCACGGTGGTGAGGAACAGCGCTCAACATAAACCCACGCTGCTAACCTGCCCATTCACCTGAACAGCACCTACTGGGTGTCTGGTGCCGGCGCACAGCAGGGATGAGGGCGACCCCCATCCTCGGGAGCTGCCGGCCTGAACAAGACACGGCTGCGGTGGTTTCCTGACCAGGTGGGAGCCCCCCGCCCTCCTCACACCTTTCCAGGGTGCACCGTTGACACCCCATTCACACCATTCACTACGTGCTCACGCCCCTTTGCGCGTCCAGCGGAGATTCGGCTCCCCCAGGGCACACGGCTGGTGAACACAGGGCCAGAAGAACAGTCCAGAATTTTCTCTTAGTCCAGGGTTTTTTCCACCACGCTGCCTCTCGGTTTGATCTCGGACTTGGAAAGGCTTTTCTATCAGACACTTCAATCTTCCCCTCAGTCTGCTCTGTCTCTCCATCTAGGGATGGGTGTCTAGTCATCCATCTACCCAAATTGATCGGTTCCCTGCCCGCCCACTGTGCACACACCCATTTCTGGGTGGGTTCATCAGCCCGTGTCCGGGCTGTCTGAGTAGCAGAGTGGGATGAGGAGAGGACCGGGGGAAGGTTGAGGCGCCTGAAATTGGCCAGGTCCTCTGCTTGAGGCCTGACGTCAAGCAAGTCACCTCATCTACTTGTACATCCAGTTCCATATGGGTGAAATGGGGGTTTGGACCAAATGCTTCATCTAAAATCCTGACCTGAGGATATGTTTTTAGTGATTTTAGAGAGAGAGGAAGGGGGTGAGAGAGAGACAGACAGACAGAGAAACATCGCTCGGCCGCCTCCCGGCTGTGCCCCGACTGGGGATCAAGTTCAGAACCCAGGCATGGGCCCTGACCAAGATGACACTCCAACCAGCTGAGCCACCTGGCCAGAGCTGGGCCAAATGCTCTTTAAAGAACAGCCAGGTTTTAATATAATTTCCTATGAACTTGATTTTTCAAAGTGGTATCTCGCTTACCACTGTTTTACACACTAACAGGTAACTCACCTCAGCTCCGGGCCCCTTTGGTCTGCAGCTACGCCTCGTGCTCCCTCCGCACTCGAACGAGGGCCCTTCTTTGATTGCAGGTGAGAAAAACAACTCACACTCACGCAAACATGAGACTCTGCCGGTTTACGTAGTTGAAGCACTGGGTCCGTAACAGATCTGAAGCAGTAACTGACAGGACCGGGGCCTCTGGACTGGAGCCAGGGACTCCAAGTGGCCGAGTGCACTTTACTTCCGATTACCTCTTTCTGTTTCTCTTTGTCTGCAGATCTCATTCCCTCCGGTCAGAGAAAGGCCCGGTCCGCCTGCAGGAAATACGGCCCCCGGCAGCCCTGGGCAAGCCACTCCAGCAGGAAAAGTCTTCCTCTCGTTGTGAGCGCAGCACTCAAAGCAAGGACTCTGGCCGACCGTCCTCTGCTTGGGCCATCGCTGCTGGGGGCTCAGGTCCTCTCATCCACAGTCTGAACGGAAGCTCCTGGAGTAAAATAAGGCCGCGTCTCTCCCCGCAAAAGTGCTGAACGGACGAGGAAAAACGCCCTTTACACCCACTGATCAACTAATAAGGTTTCTGTGGGCAGAAAGGCCACGTGAGGGAAACTAAGGCAGAATGATGGTTAGGATCGCAGGCTCTGGAAACAGCATGCCCGGGCGAATTCCAGCTTCACGGTTACATGCTGTGGGACCTTGAGCAAATTATATATCCTCTTTAAGCCTCAATGATTTCGTCTGTAAAATAAGGAGAATACGATTGCTTGTGTCAATAAGTTACTGTGAGGATTAAGTTGGTGTAATTGGCAGCGCAGAAAATAAGGTCGGCTGTTACCACTGGAACTACTGCTACTACCACTGGTATTAAGTGCATACAGCAAGTGTATAATAAGTGATAGACTCTGAACTAACAATGCCTTTGACCCCTGACCTAGAACGGTCCCACCTCCCCAAGAATTAAGGGCAGGTGAACACTGGAGAGTGGCCCGTGGTGTGGCTGGCCGTGGACTTGAGCTGATTATGCTGCTGGTATTCCTGGCTCCTCCTCTCTTGTACCTATGATGGACCCTATCTCACAGAACAGGAAACTGAGGCACAGAGCTATGAGCTTGCTGGGGAGGTCACATGCTGGCACCGGGGGGTGTGCTCTCCTCCAGGGGGCCTGCTGGGGGGTGGCCCGGAGGAGCAGGCCCCAGGCTCCCCTGCCAGACAGATGAGCCTGCTGTCTCCTGCGTCGCTGCACTGGCCTGCTAGGCTGCCGGGCTCACAGCTGGCACCCGCCGTTTCAAACACTCATGGGCAGATGTCAACCATGACAGCTGGTGGAGAAGAAAACAGAGGAATGCAGAATTCAGACCCCCCAGATGGGGGCGAATTTGAAGTCCTCTAGATGAGGTTTCGCAGGCTGTGCCATGGCCCACTTCCGTGCAACCTTACGCCTGATTTTTGTGACGAAGAAAGAGTGAGTGTAATCTACTCAAAATGTTTCCACTGCCTTTTTTCACCATCCAGGAATTGCGCAATGCTTGGGGTGGGGTGGGTCGCCCTGCTTCTCTCCGTCACTCAGCCCGCAGTCTGGCAGCCGGCACTGGATTTCTGCGGGTGTCTCACTGCACTAGCAGTACAGCTGTGACTCAGCCGGTGAGCACTCCCTTTTCCACAGTGTGACATGTCAACCTTCTTTCCTTGCTGCGACATGTTTCTGGCCCTGTGGCCGATAAACAAGGCAACCCAGTCAGGAAACCAAAGCGCATTCCCCAGTTCTGAGTCAAAGTGGGGAGTCCGCCGACGCTGACCAGGAAGACATGCTCTCACACCTCGCTCAGTCCTCTCTGGGAGTTTTCCCTTCTTCACCCGCCCCCCTTCCCACCCTCCTGGCCCCTGAGAAAAGAGGGCAGCACTTGGGAGCTCTTTTTACCTGATGCATCAATCCAGGGGCAAGGTCTTTTATGCTGCATGTATCAGAAGAGAGAAGGTCTCCATCACCGATGTGTTTTAAACGGACTACTTGTTTCTGCAAGGTTTGACACGTCTTGTGTGGACAGGAGGGGGCTCTGGGGGGTCTCACCGCTGGGGTGACGGTCATGGAGAAAACGTGTCCAAAGGATGGAAAGGCAGAGATTTGAGCTTCACTTTCCTTCTCTGGGAGTGGAATGAAAAATAACTCCGGTCTGGTTTGCTGTGAGAACTAGGTAAGCGTGTACACCAAGTACACAGCACTACACCCCTGATAGACGGCAGGCAGCCCGTCTCCCAGGCCTGCATCGAAGCCCTCCCGCAGGGCTGATTTCTGCCTCCATGGGCCCAAACGGCAAGACAGAGGCGGTCGTGTTTGCCACTAAGTCATGCTTTCAAAGGCTTGAACTGGGGAAAGTAGGAATTAGCATGACGTTTCCGGAGGCACTATAGCATCATCTATCAAATGGGTATATACCCTTTAATATAATTGCATTCCTGAGAATTTGCGATAAGAAGATAACCAGGTGTTATTCATGCACATGATAATCATAACATTGTTTATAGCAGGAAAACTTATAAGCAGTCTAACAAACCCCACAGTAGGAGGTGGGCGAGGTACATTATTACACCTTTATACTGAGGAGTACTATCGAGGCAGCCATTAAACACCAGACTGTAGAAGAACACTTATTTTTATGAAACATATTTATCCTGTATCGCTAACTAAAACTGCAAACAGCAAAGCAGGATGTACTGTTCGATATTTTTAAAATTATTTTATTTATTTATTTTTAGAGAGAGGGGAAGGAAAGGAGGAAGAGAGGGAGAGAAACATCAGTGTGTGGTTGCCTCTCACACGGCCCCCACTGGGGACCTGGCCCGCAACCCAAGCATGTGCCCTGACTGGGAATCGAACTGGCGACCCTTTGGTTCACAGCCCGTGCTCAATCCACTGAGCTACACCAGCCAGGGCTGATATTTTTAATAAATATAAAAAAGGCATATATACACGTGGAAAAAATACTGGAAGGTACATACCAAAACATTATTCATAGATCCCTGTAGCTGGAATTCACGTGATTTTTGTCATTTTCCTCTCTGCTTTCCTATGTTTCACAAGTTTTCCTTACTGAGTATACTTTATTTCTTTAATTAGAAAAAGGCAGGTTTAAAATATGGCTACTAAACAAATGAGCATTTGGTTTTCAAATGAGCATTGTTGTTTAATCCACGACTTCTGTCTTTGAAATGCTTGAGAAGCACTTAGAAAAGAATGTGCAAATGTGTGCACAGAGACAGGCCCAGAGGACACATGTCAGCGTGTGAGCGGTGGCACCGCGGAGTGGGGGCTCCTGGGCGGTTTCCACCTTCTGCTCTGTGGCTTCAAAGTTCCTACAATCTGCACGTGTTATTTTTATAAACAGGAAATGCTGTTCCATGTCTGTCAAATGATAATTGTTTATTAAGAGTAATATTTCACTTATGCCTTCTATGAGTGCTGGTTTGATTTAAGCTTTTCTGTTGGCTGAATTTAATTTGTCTTGCCACGAAATAGATTGGCTCTGAGGAAGCCAGTTCTGTAATGTCCAATTTGAACAAAGTCTTATTTTTTTCCTTCCTAAACTCTTCCATTCATATTTCAGGGTGATTTTCATTTGTAACCTGGAGTTACTCAGAGCCCGGGACCTAAGATGCCTGGGGGGAAGGCAGCCCCTGCTGGGCGTCTGGCCCCACAGGACGGGCAGCCTGACTCCAGATCAAAGGGCCGCCAGCGAATGCATTCACTCTGGACGACTTCTCCTCCCTCCCCAAGCCTCGGATCCACTGGACGCGTGCCCATCCGGGCTCAGGCCTGTCGGCGGCTGTTTTTGGAGCAAGGGTGTCTCGAGGTCACATTTAGAGCATAGATTTCCACGTCTGGTGAAACAACCAGAGTGTGTTTACCAACGTGAATGATATTTTCAAGGTCAATGCTGGGTTTCTAGCAAGAGAAAAAAGCAATTGGTATTCAGGACAGAAAAAAGCAAACAAAGTCACAGGTCTGTGGTGGAAGCTGTGCCACCCGCAGTGTTAGGGGTGCCTCTCTCCACCCCTCTTCACTGCGCGCCCCACCCTGTCACCAACGAACCGGCTTTCACCCTGGAAACACACAGGTACATGAATTTGGGACCAGGTTACCTCCCCCCTGCCTTTCTTAAAGGAGAAGAGTTGTTTTTGTATTTGGAAAACAGCTCTTCTTGCCGCACGTGAACGATGCCGGCATGTTCTCAGCGTAAACGCCATTGCAGATGAGAAGATGGAAAACCAAGGAGACAGGAACGTAGTCCTTTCAGTCAGTGGAGCACAGCGACAACGCGCTCAGGCTACAAAGCTGCCAGCCGCCCTTGACTCCCCTCCCCTTCGTGCGCACCTCCCCGCCCACACCCTCCCCTCCCGAGTCTCTCCGCTGCCCCTTCTCCTGCTGCCCTTGGTGTCCTCCCAGCCTCCTGCTCAACCCCACAGCTGCGTGCAGACCCACTTCGACCAGAGGGCTCCGGGTGGAATGCAAACCTCACCACTTCATTCCCTCTCCACGCCCTCATCCTCTCCTCTGGGCTAAAACCCGAGCTCCTTGGCGTGTGCACTTGGGCACCTTAGCAATTTAGCCACTGCTCATCTCTTTAGCCAGCTCTACTGGGTCCCCTCAAGCCCAAACTTCCTGTCCTTTCCTGGACCCCAGCAGGTTGGGTTCGTGAGCGGCAGGACCCTGTGCAGAATGGAACAACAGGGCCCCGTGTTCAAACACAGATACGAAGATGAAATTAAGAATTTCAAAATGAAGACCACAGGGCATTCGACTGCAAGCACGGGGCCTGTGAGACCACGTGGGTCGCCTGAGCACGAAGCACGTTTTGTCAGTGTCCTTGCTCCAGTGGGGCTTGGCCCAGAGTGTCCCGCCGTCCTCCGCTTCTCTGCTGCCCCTCCTCCCTGTCCCTGCCCAGAAGCCTTCCCAAGTTCCCATTCCACCACCCTGCGGCCCCACCGTGGAGGCCAGTGATTCCACAGGACGATTCCCCTGACCCCCGGACCCCTACCAAGGAGGCACCGGGGGCAGGGATTTAGGTGAATCTGTCCCTCGGGGGCCTGGGCCAAGGCATCTGCGAGTCCCAAGCAGATCCGTGTGCACAGAAATCACTGAAGTCTGCCCTCTGCCGCCCACCCCCAGCCTCCGTGTCGGGCTCTGCCTTCGGTTCCGTTCCCTTCACCCCCAGCCCAGCGTCCTGCACTGTGTCGAGGCCGACAGTCATTTGTTGGCTGAAGCCCATTCCAACCTCAGGGCTGCCCTCCTCCCACCTGAGCTTCCCGCTGTCCTCACGGCCTCGCTGGCTGGGCGCAACCCGCTGGGGACTGTGTGGCTGGCACCGTGTGGACAGAGCTGCCAGGTGGTGCGTGTTGGGTTTTGGCCTCCATTATCCTGAACCCCAAGGGAGACCCTGAGCGTCTGCCTGGGCTTCCTGAGAAGCTCTGGAAGGAGAGCGAAGCGCTCGCTCCACAGCTGGGCACGTGAGTGAGAATCTCATTGTCTCTGGTTGAGAGCCCTCGAGTGAGTCTCCAGACCGTGGGCCAAGGAGCCGGTGAACGATGGCACCACGAGGCCCCAGCCTGCTGGCACCTCCTTCTCTCACAGAGTTGGCACCGAGACGTGAGCTAAAAGCCAGGGCCTCGCGCTGGCCCCTGCGGGGCCCAGAGCTGGAGGGAGCAGGGCACTGTGGCTGGGTTTGCCCTGGCCCTGGCCCCGGTGTCGGTGTCGGGAGTGTCAATCAGAAGGCTCCAGACCTGGGCTCAGGCCTGGCGGAGCTCGGTCCCTGCCCCTCCAACCCCAGGCTCTCAGAGAGCGCCCAGGACACCACAAAGATGCAAAGACAGACCACCGCAGCCCGGAGGCCTCACGCGGGGGGTCTCCCAAAGCACTGGCATTTCTTTGCAGGGAGGGGGGGAAAGAGGCTGCCTGGGGTAGGGGGAGGTGTGCAGAGGACTGTCAACGGGCCCCGAGATCTTCCACTGCTACTCAGCCACCTCTTCCCCGGTGGGAGGGAGGGGGTGGCCAGCGCTGGCCCTTGAGCCACCTGAGTCCTCTGTGCGGGGCCCGCCCTCCACTCAGCGCGCATGTCCAAGACCACCCCAGGGCCCAGTGTAGTAATCAATGAGCCTCCTGCTGGTCCCCGGGTCCCCATGGCCCCCCCTCCAGGTGTCTGGGCACCCCAGCACCAGCCTGTCTCAGTCCTGTTTTGAAGCAAGAAGCTGGAAGACCTCCTCATACAAACTTGGCCCTCTCCCTCCTGTTTTGATGAGACACAAAGTGTTTTTCCCTTGTTTAAAAATATTTTCAGTTTATTTTATGACTGTTGTTCCAAAAATTAGCTCTTTCTAATGAGGAGCATTGTCAAATTTGGATTCCGTGCCAAGCAAACCAGGCAAAATGTCTGGGCCTCGAGGAAGCTGTCTGGGAGAGAGGAGCCCCGCGGTTCCCGCGGCAGGAAGGGGACAGGGCCCCCGCAGACCACTAAGCAGCTGTCTGTGAGCCAGTCGTCTGGTGGTCTGCGTGCAGCCGCCTTAGTGAGCCCATGTCTCGCGGACCATGGGGTGGTTGGGGCCAGTGTATCGAGTGCTTCAGCCACATGCATTTTCTCACTCTTCTGAAATGTCCTTCATCACCATCATCTTCACCCAATATTACAGCTTAAACTTTTTGAGCATTTAATGTGATCAAGGCATCGTCTCAAAGTGTCTCATACCCCATCGTGACCTGGAAGTACTGCAGCTATAACTCCACTGAGGGATGGAGGCTCAGAGGTGCAGGCACCCTTGTCCAAGGTCATAGAGATGCACAGAGTTCTATAGACCTTGGGGGTTTTTTTGTGTGTGCAGTAGAAGCGTTATTCATAGCAAAGCCCTTTGACCATCCCTGTATTTATGCTAATGAGACGACTCCTAGGGGACCCCTGGGAAGCAAACACCTGGTTAGGAGGTTTCAGCCCCACCTCGCCTCATCCTTACCTCCAGAGAAGGGAGAGGGGCTGGCACTTGAGCTCAGTCCCAATGCCCAGTGAGTTCATCAATCACGCCTCGGTAAGAAACGCTAAACTGTGGTTTGGAGGAGCTTGAGTTGGTGAACACCTTCGTGCACCAGGAGGGTGGTGCACCCCAGTTCCACAGAGGCTCTGATGCTGGGGACCCTGCTCGACCTCCCTCTTCATCTTGGCTGTTCATTTCTATCCCTTATAATCAACTGTCATTGTAAGGAAAACGCTTTCCCGAATTCTGTGAGTCCTCGTTCCTGGACCTGCAGGCAGGTCGTGGGCACCCCTGAACTGGCTGTCAGCCGGGCAGAGGATCGGGCAGCCCGGGGACCCTGTGGCAGCTGGCGTCTGAAGCCGGGTCAGTCCTGTGGGACCAAGCTGTTAGCTGGTGGGGCCTGCCCTGACTCCAGGCGGTTACTGTCACAACTGGATGGAACCGTGGGATACCCACTTGGCGTCAGAGAATTGGAGAACTGGTTGGTTGTTTCAGAAAGACCACAGTGCCACCCACTGAACCTCATCCTCCCGGGGGGTGGGGAGTGCAGTGGGGGGCTCACGAGCATCAGGAGCTCAGCACGGTTCCTTCTGCATCTGCAGCTGCAGCTCCCAGCCTCCGGGTTTAGCCCCTGAAACCTCTCTGCACCTTCGGTGAGTTAATAAATCAGATGCCCACTGGCTTTCATGTTCGGATGAACATGGCCTTCATGTGATGGGTGTCAGTTTCAGGGCCCAACACCAAGGTCACCTTGATACCCTGTGACAGAGCAAGGACCAGACGTCCCACCTTGGAACTGGGACACGGTCCCTCTTCCTCTGTCTTCCAACTTTCCGCAGGACGTGCAGAAAATCAAGTCACCAGGAGGCTTTCGTGACTCGCTGTAGGTAGGACACACAGTGAACGTGGTTTCCAGCTGTTTCACCCCCTCCGCACTCCACACCGGACCTTTTCCCAGCAGGCAGGATAACTGACCCGAGTGTCCCCACTCTGCCCCACCCACCGAAGGTCGTGAATCATAGGCCTGTTCTCTGAAGACTGAGAGCTGAGGCCAGGTGGGGAGGGAGGCAGTTTCAGAAGGGCCCACAGCCGTCAGCGGCTTGCGTGTCGGAGAGGAGTCACCGGGCCCTGCCGGTGCTGAGCGTGGAGGGCAGCCGAGTCTCAGTCACCAGCTCCCCCCTCTCCCAGAACCGGCTCCTTCAGCAGGGTCCACGGCAGTGGGTGGGAGGCCTCTTCGGAGCCTCCTCGCTGATGGGAGGGGGGGGAGGAGGGAGGGGTGCGGAGGAGGCCTAGAGAGCCGCCACCGAGCAAGGCTGATGACAGGAGACTCCATCCATCTTGCGTGCAGAGCCAAATGTGGTGCCGGCTCAATAGGTAATCAAGCATGGTCACACTGTGGCTAGACAAGGAGGGACACTGCAGACCGGCGCCAGGGCAGGCCTAACCCCCCCTTCCCCCCGTGCGTGGTCGCAGGCGCCTCGGGCTCTGCAGCTCAGCCTGGCCGGTGGCGACCCCACCTTCGTCCTTGCGGGCCCCCAAAGAGATTGCTTTGCTTGGTGTGTGTGCTAGACGAAGGGGGGGACCGAGGCCCATGTCACGCTGTGAAGATGTGTCCTGGCACTTCCCCTAGGTCAGCAGGCTTCCCGGGGCGTGGCGCCCATTCAGCCCTGTCTCCAGGTTTTTGGCACCTTTGGCCACGCCCCCCACACACAGCCGCTGGGCTCTTGGTGGCAAGGAGAGCAGTTGTCATTACTGGAAATAGCCAGAACGGGAAAGTCTTTAGTATAAACGGTTAAACACACATTATTAAAATTTGAGTTCTAGCCCTGGCTGGTGTGGCTCAGTGCGTTCAATGCCGGCCTGCAAACCAAAGGGCCCCTGGTTCGATTCCCAGTCGGGCCACATGTCTGGGTTGGGGGCCAGGTCCTATGTAGGGGGGCGCACCGGAGGCAACCACACACTGATGTTTCTCTCTCTCTTTTTCTCCCTCCCTTCCCCTCTCTCTGAGAATAAATAAACAAAATCTTTTAAAAAACTGAGTTCTAGATATTCCAGGACAGCCATTGGTAAGGGGCTGGGAGCACACAGAGACCTAAGCCTGGCCCTTCTCACAGCGCTGATGGCAACTAGGCTGGTGGACGAGTGCTCACATGCAAAAACACCTTAGTGGAACACAGGGTTTCCTGGCCCAGGGCCGACTGGGGACACAGGCAGCGGCGTCTCCCTGCCCACCAGGCTCAGGCATGGGCTGTGTGAACGGCAGGACCGCCTCCTGCACCCATGCCCGTGGGCATTCAGCTTTCCTTCCAGTGGGGTTTATCTGGGCCTCGTGCCCTGTACGACCAGAGGGAAGGACAGCTGATGATGGAGGCGGTGCTGAGTTGTGGTGAGAGGAGCACGGGATTTTGCCAGAAAGACCTGGCTTTCAGTCCCAGCTGTGTCCGCCTCAGCCACTGAGCTTCCCGTTATCCAAAAAATGGGGTAGTCTCTCCCACTTGGCAGAATTCTCATGAGAGAAAAGGTCAATAGATTCTTGGGAAGTTGTAGTTGCTACTGAGATGAACCTGGGTCCTTCTAAATTTAAAATAAAAACTACCTGGAAGGGGTCAATTGCCAGCTACTCGCCCGGCATACGTTTCTGAGGTTCTGAGCTCCTTGGAGCAGGTTGTGGCTTTGAGGGTGTGGGTGCCTCTGCAGAAGAGAAAAGGCTTTCGGAGGAAAGGCGAAGGGCATCCTGCTCTGATCTGCGCGACTCTGTCTGCACGCTAATGCCAGCGCTCCGGCCGCAGCATGCTGAGCAGGGGTCCGGGCCGAAGAACTCTGCAATGCCACGGCTGGCCTGCCACGAGGCCGGACTACAGCAGTGTCACTTTCCCGACGGGAAAAATGCACCAAGCTTTCGGGAAATGCCGGGGCGTGGTCAGCCACCCACAGTGTGAGAGCCAGAGGTGGGGGTGGAGAGGACCCGGCCCCTGGACGGCCCAGGACGGGATGAGCTTTCAGGCAACGTGGCTGCCACATGCAGGACGGATGGTCGCCACAACACTTCACACCCTCATACGTCGGGCCCGTTCCTGCTTGCTCTCTGCGCTCACTGGCCAGGTGGAAGCTTAGGAAGCCCAGATGCATCCGTTTCACAAGGTCCAGGGTGGAAAACCAGCACCCTTTGTCACAGAAGGGTGGCAAAGGGAATTCTCTGTGAGGCCTCCGTCTGAGCCGTAAACGTCATGGAGAGAGAGTCCCGAGCTGCGTGAACTCCGATAGACCAAAACCACGGTGAGGTGAACGAGGTGAACGAGGTGAAAACGGGAAACGAGTAACGAGGTCTAAGGAGATAGGCAAGCCGGCACTGACACGGAATGAGATTAAACCTAAAACACTATTTATCAGTTTTACTTGTAGGTCTGCAATTCACATTTCTCCCACAGCGAAGCCATAGTAAGAGCAGTAGATTAAATAAATAAATAAATCATCAAGGCTAATGGAAGAACGTGACGATTGTCCTTTATCGCTCATAAAGGCCCATGTTTCTGCTCGGTGGCAGCAGAACCAGTGATGTAAATATTGACAAGCTGAGCACATTATAAACTGTCATATATTGCTACCACCGTGAAGTCATTACAACAGAAACATAAAGCCTTTCTTATTTTAGCTATTAATATTCATCAAATGTTAATGAAAATACCTAACAAATAATTATGAAAAACACATTGCTTCAGTAATAAAGATGAAAGAGATGGTAATTGTTGTGAATATTTAATCTGTAAAATAAAGAACCTCCACCATTAATAAGACTTAATTATGTCATTAAATATTTAATTTTACTTGCACTACTAAATTTTATTTTCATTTTGCATATTTTGAGTGGAAAAAGCCTCATAATAAGATTTGTAGTTTCAGCAGCATCAGATGCCAAAGCATCTAAGTTTGACTTACTGTCTTCATCAAGCTGGTACATCATCAT